GAGGTATGAAACCTCACCCAGCACACTTAGGAGTAAAGGGAGGACCTATCTCCTTGAAGTGTAGACTAATCCCACATGATTTGAGAGGCTGTGAAGAATGAGCCGAGTAAACTGGTTTGACAAATGATAATAATCTCAGTTTGGTCGTCCGGTTGAAGTACTCCCATTGTGACTCAATTAAAGGTGGAAAGAAAAACACCTAGAATATGTGATGATTACCGCTTCACGTTAAATACTCAGGTATTGCAACAGAGTTGTAGCACTGAAGAAGCTGAGGATATTCTATATAAATTACAAGGGCCAAGGTACTTTCTTAAGATAGACCTGAAAAATATACGTATTTGTAAATTCCATTGGATGACCAACTTTCCCAGAGGTTAGTGACAATCTCGTATGTTGGCCATTGTTTCACTGGTTTCTAAATAAGTTCGATAAACCGTTCACCATCCACACCTTTGAAAGTCATCTTTCTATACAATCATTTCATCAACGTTGTCAACTTGAATACAGACTGTGTTTTATATTACAAACTAAATGAAACGGATATTTATACAATACTTAGTTCAGATGAGGCTACAGTGATCTGTCGGATATGAGTGACTTCCGGTGGCAGATTAGTAACTGTTTTAATTACTTTTCATATGATAGTCTGAGTAGTTTTCCAGGTTACATTAAAGTAAAACACGTTTCCATTCTTCGTTAACTTTCAAGCTAATTACTGCTTGAATATGAACTTGGTGATTTCGTTTGCAGACTGAACATGCAATACATTTTGCCCACATTTTCCGCATTTATTAGGTGTAGATAGAGACAGGCATAAACCAGTACATTATTAGAGCCTAAGAATTTACTCGAAAGAGAGCGAAAACCTTCGAACAATCCTGTCTAGCAACGAACGCCCCCGAATGCCCTGGTACGGCCGAGAGTGGGGAGAGTTCGCTCTCCCTCTCGAAATACTCTCACACGGCCACGCGTATACAGCCTCTGCCAGGGAAGTCCTACTCATTGCCGTCTCGTGACGGGGATGTTGTTTACGAAAACGAGAGGACGAAAAGCGAATGTCCGGCGCTTTAACCGGATCACAAATCAATGGTGCACATGGGCTCCAGTATCCTGCGGGAACAAATGGCGTATGAACCAATCGTTGGTCACCGGCTACCATGGGATTACATCTCCTTACGATGCTCCACTGCCTTGTGGGTTAGACCTTTAGGTCAAAGGCTCGGGGAGTGGCCCCCTAAGATAACCACCTGCTTCGGTTCGGGCACCCGGGCAGTATCACAGCCCACACACAAATTGATGAACTCTCTATGTCTATGGAAATTACTTTTCTCGCTTCGAAAAACAACCAATCGATTCAAATTATTATCATTACAATTATTGTCATTATTAATACTATTATTATTACTATTATTGTCATAATAATTATTATTATTATTATTATTTTCCACATTATTCGCCCACTTTTATACTTATACAGCGGCTCGTCTTTGGTGGAAATTCGACTGTATCTAAACGTTCTCGAGTCACTGTTCGGTTGAAAATTGTATGTTACCACCGAATACGAGGACTGAAGCAGTTTTTCTGAAACCACATGCACTAAACGAACTGGCTGCCTTCAACGTTCGCACATTTACGCAGGTCGGACAACAGATAGGGCTGGCTATGTCTTTGGAAAGTCTTAATGTTGATGTTTGTTGTCTATCCGAGACCCGTATTCAAGACTCTGGCGAAGTACTACAAATTCGATCTCCATCTGTCGCTTCGAAAAGCTTGTTTTACGTGCGCTTATCCGGGAATCCTGTGGCATCTTCGTCTAGTCTTGCTGGCGTTGGCGTCGCACTAAGCGCTAGAGCTGAGGCAGCACTAGTTGATTGGATCCCCATTGACAGTCGGTTATGTGCTGTTAGATTAGAAAGTTCCATCAAAGTGAGAAGAAATCGGCGTGAGAAACGACGTCTTTTCGTCATCTCCGCCTATGACCTGACAGATTGCAGCCCGGATGCAATCAAGGATGAGTTTTACCACCAGTTATCTGTTCTTCTCCAGAATGTGCGTTCGACAGACATTGTGGTACTAGCCGGAGACTTGAATGCTCAGGTCGGGCGTCTAGGCACAGAAGAGAGTCGGTTAGGTGGCCGATGGGGACTCGTTGGTCGCAGGTCAGATAACGGGGACCGTCTACTGCAACTTTGCACAGACCACAACCTGTTTCTGGCTAGCACTAACTTTCGGCACAGTCATCGCCGATGTGCCACCTGGCGTCCTCCCTCTGCATCTCAAGCCTGGACTCAGATTGATCACATCGCGATCAGCTACCGCTGGCGCGGTTGTGTACAAGACTGCCGCTCCGTTTGGAGTACCTATCTGGACTCTGACCATGCCTTGGTCTGCGCCAATCTTGCCTTACTTTTCAGTGGACAACGAAGTGACCGCCACCAACGGATTGATGCTAGCAAGCTGGTTGCAACTTCTGTTGCAAGTAAGTATCGAACCGAGCTAGTTTCTAGGCTAGCTATCATTCCACCGAAAAGTATAGATGAGCATTGGTTGCAATTGCATGACGCCATGAAAATGGCGGATACAGTCAGTTGTGGGTTCGCGAAACGTCCCGCTTATAAGCACTGGGTTTCTGCAGGATCCTTACAACTCATTGAAGCCCGTCGGTCTACTCCGGGTGACCGTGAGTTTGACCATAAACGAAGGATGTTACGTAATGAAATTGGGCAAAGCTTGTGTAAGGACCGAGAAGCCTGGTGGTCGAAGCGTGCTAATGAGCTGGAAGCAGCAGTTGCATCTGGTAACTACCGGAAGCTCTTCCAACTCATCCGAGCAACTGGCAGCAAGAAGTCTGGTGTGAGTGAAACAATCCGCGAGGATGATGGGATGCCAATCACTAACATCCATCGACGTCTTGGACGATGGGCAGAATTTTTTGAAGGGCAGTTCAACTGGCCTGCTGCTCCGGCAACATCGGTCAGACTGTCCTGCCCCCCATAGCAGGTGACGACTGATCCACCAAACGAGGAGGAGGTCCGCAAGGAACTCCAACTCTTGAAGCGTTACAAATCACCTGGCCCAGATGACTTACCTCCGGCTCTTTTTAAAGATGGTGGTGACTTTTTGACTAAGGAATTGACGACGTTGTTTACAAAGGTTTGGGAACTAGAGAGTGTACCAACGTCATGGAATGAGTCGATAGTTGTCCCTATCTTTAAAAAGGGTTCACGTCGTTCCTGTAACAACTATCGGGGGATAAGTCTACTTCCGATCGCGTCCAAGCTATTGGCTTCCGTCATACTTCGTAGGTTGTTCAAAACCCGAGAAAGATTGACTCGCGAGAAGCAGGTTGGGTTTCGTTCTGGTCGAGGATGTATTGATCATATATTTACCCTCCGCCAAATGTTAGAACACCGCCATACTTATCAAAGGCCAACAATCGTAGTGTTTCTTGACATCAGGGCTGCCTTCGATTCGCTGGACAGGGCTGTTCTCTGGGATTGTCTATAGAAGAAGGGTGTGCCTGAGAAGTTTATTAACATCCTAAAAGCCCTATATACAAACACCTCAGGCAGACTGAACGCATACAACCACCTCTCTCCATTGTTCCATTCGAGCAGTGAGGTTAGGCAGGGTTGCCCAATCTCACCATTCCTCCTCAACGTTGCCATCGATGACGTTCTGGAAACAGCTCTGATGAATGTAAGTAATGGTGGTGTGGATCTGTTGCCTGGAGAAAAACTTCTCGACCTTGAGTATGCGGACGATATTGTCTTACTGTGCGATAATGCCCAAGGCATGCAATCCGCACTTAATCAGTTGACAATCAGTGCCCGTAGGTATGGTATGTGCTTTGCACCCTCCAAGTGCAAAGTACTTCTACAAGACTGGCAGGATTCTAACCCTGTACTCACTCTGGATGGTGAGCAGATAGACGTAGTCGAGAAGTTCGTGTATCTGGGTAGCTGCATAAGTGCTGGTGGGGGTGTGAGTAATGAGATCAATGCACGAATAGTGAAAGCCAGAGCGGCTTATGCCAATCTGGGCCACCTTTGGCGCCTTCATGATGTCAGTCTGGCTGTAAAAGGTCGGATCTACAACGCGTCGATGAGAGCAGTTTTGCTCTATGCCTGTGAAACCTGGCCTCTTAGAGTTGAGGACGTTAGACGACTCTCTGTGTTCGATCATCGTTGTCTCCGAAGGATTGCTGACATCCAGTGGCAACACCATGTCAGTAATGCAGAGGTTCGGCATCGTGTGTTCGGTCACAGAGACGATAATGCAATTGGTGTCACCATCTTGAAACACCGACTTCGGTGGCTTGGACATGTTCTTCGAATGTCGTCCCAGAGAATTCCACGTCGTGCACTATTTGCCGATTCTGAGACTGGTTGGAGAAAGCGGAGAGGTGGTCAGTGCATGACATGGTGTCGTGGTATGAAAGAAAGCTGCAAAAGACTGGCTTCTGTCGGTCCTTCACGACTCCCTGGTCGGGGTCTGGGAAATGGTGCAACACAGTGGCTAGAGACGTTATCAGATATGGCTCAGAATATAAGCCAGTGGCGATCCTGCTGTAATCTTCTTTTACTTTCTTCATAAAAAGTGGTTGTCTCCCTTACCCGAAAGATTTCTTCCGATTGTACCTTTGCGTTCCCTCATTACTACCACACTACCTTACACCAATCTCTTCGTTATTGTTCTCTTTTTTTATTTCTCTTCGAATTCTCATTGTTTTGTGTGTCGCATATATATTGGCGCTCTCTTGTACCAATACTTATGTGTTCAAATAAATAAATAAGTAAACAACGAACAATATTAATATGATGATTGTCCTTTAGATTGATGTATACCAAAACCAACCCAGGAGATGTGTCTCATTATGTCGTAAGTGCTAAGAAGGAATAGGTGTCTGTCAAAGCAAAGTAAAACTGACAACTTTTAGAAAATTCACAGAGTGATTAGAGCTTTACACAATGTAAAATAACTTGAAAGTAACTTACAGGCTTATAGATTTGATGAGACCGTTTAAACGAACCATATGACAGCATGACGACTGACGTTGCACTGTATTTGTTGAATTACCATAACGATCACAAAACCAACAAGCTTGAATATTTTGATTAAAACAGAAATGATAAGTACCTTTGGGATATATGTCAGAGGTGTGAAAACGGTGAATTTTATTATGACAGGATTTCGGTGATAAGAATCCACCTGAGTTCATGGTGTATATTGCAACTGGACTTGTAGTTGATATGTCGTAAGTTACTAGATAAGATGTTTTATTGAAAAAAAAACAAAACGGGACAAAATCAACAGATGAAGTTATAACTGAATATTTCATTCAATTACGTTGATTTAATTAGTACTTGCATTGCATTTGAGTTGATTAGTCAGTAATTTGTTTGTCTATCGACGATATCTTTCCCACTGTCGATACTGCCAAGAACTACAGTGAAACACAAAAAATGTTATATTCGAGGTCATTACTATACAGCTGTAGTCCATGAATTTAAGCGTTAGGCTAACATTCATAAGATAGCCTGATTGCCCTGGCATCCCCCAAATTTCCTCAATTGAGTCTGAACAGGAATGTAAACTTCCTCTATTGGTTGATCGGTTTACTTCATACTTACATACGGACTGACTTGAATTTTAAGGTTACAAAAAACTTTGCACACACTTTGCTTTCTTACTCAAGATTCACACGTTATCTTAATCAAGTTAGCATCCAGTTGTTCACATAGATCTGTTTGAAGAACAAATTATTGTTACTTCATCACCGAGTTGTGTTTGTGGATGCATAAATGAGCTATTTTTCAGATTGTACAATGCTTGTTTTATTTTTTGGGATAGTTTGCCGTATTTTCCTTTAAAACATTAATCTTGTTTAACGATGACAATAACAATAATAGCAGTTGAGTTACGTCGTATCAAGAATAATTCGGTGAGGCTATAATTTATGGACGACATTTGAGTGACGCTGGACTGACCTTGAGTGTCCACCTAATAATCAGTACCAAATGAGGGTTATAAACCTGTGTGATAAATTAGAATTATGGTTTAAAGTTAATGATTAAGGTTAGAAATTAGATTTATGGTTTTCACCACGAGTTGACACCAGCTATAATGCCAAAACTCTATTTAGCTAAATGGATGATTGAATTTCGCGCCAAAATCTGAAACCTACTATCCTATACGTGATTAGTTCGTCCATAAATTATAGTCTCGCCAATTAATCGAAGTCGAACTTTGGACACGCAGTACACATGACAATAATCTTAATTTGTTAATTCCAATTTTACATACTTCAAGATAAAATGTAGTTCATTGCTAAATCATGGTACAATTTTAGAACTATAACAAACTACAGTCATATTTTTTCGGGTTGCCTTTTCGATATGAGGGTATTCCTCAGAAACCAATGAAATCGTAGTCACAATAATATAACAGAACAAAAGTAATCTGACTGAATCTCTTTCACATTAGATTTTAGAGAAGTATCACTAAAGCTGCATAGTTTCACAAAACGTTTCCTTCGCTGACCATAAGTCAGATGATAAATTAAGTAAAACCTGCGTAGACTTGGATAGTGGTCTTTATTCTATGAAAACCTATGAAATGGATTAGACCCCAAGTAGCTTGCAGGTTAAGCCTTCACACTTCTACAGGCTTTACTCTTGACAAGACAGCTAAGTAATGTCTCTAGTTCTATAAAAAGAGCAAATCAAAGACTCGTATATTTGCTACGACCAAATGGACAGTGATTACAGCAGGATGATAGTAAAGCAATACCTGCCTAGGCATTTTGAGAGCTAGTACTTTTTAAGCCGGAAAAATAATGAAGTAGAGGCAATCCTAAGGTCTAAAAAGATCGACGACAGCCAATATTAGGGGTGCAAAAAGTAAACCCTCGCTTATTACAAACGTTTTTTTAAAACAATCCATTCCAAAGTAATTCTGTATCTGCTTGATCTCAGTAGTGAAGCTATAAACTTCAGCATTATTTATATCAGAAGATTAAGAGATTAAAATAATCTTACCAAAATCATCAACGTTGAATTGTAGGTATTCTGTAGCTTCTATGCCGACGGGCACACTGTGTAAAATATTGTTGTACCTTGGATCAATAATCCGCTATAATAAGAACCAGAATGTACTTTACTAACCCATATGAAATTATTTCTCTCCCTCCAGTTTTATTAGTGAAAGAAAAAGTGGTTGACATGTTTATGAACAAAGTCCACAGACCGTGAATTTCAATGTATTTAAGCCTATTATAAACTTGAAAACACTAATGTTCGGGTAAGAAAAAACGAATCATCTTCACGGACCCTTAGTAAAGTTTGGTCCAATGACGAATGGGAACAGTGATATATAACTTATTTACTAAGTGCAGGTTTATGTACACGGAATGTGAACCAGACCTGTATTAGTCGCCAATAGATTGATGTTAACCACTGAACAACGGCCTCATATGAAATACAGTAGCCAGAAAAAGCTTCCAAAACGCAGTGACAATCATCTATTATGATTTCTTCTTACTTATTAAGAGATATAAGGAGATGTGGTGTTCATGAGTGGTTAGAATTCGAGGTGGAGAAGCATTGACTCATAACTATGAGTCTTGATTGAAATCAAATTGTATGGTAAGAACGTCAACCAACCTATCACAGAAAAACCTATTGGATTAGTAAATAAATGTCATGCTGCTCATAAGTAGCACTATAGTATCCCACACGTGTAAATGAAAATACAGTCCTAGTTTCTGGACAATCATATCATCAACTAATGACTAGTAAAGTTAATTCTTACCTTGCCAAAATTAACAGTGATACCTGGTCTAACTGACCCATAATTCATGTGAAAAATTGCCGCCAGTACACAACACTCGATATCGAGTACCCAAAAAGCCTGCAAAATACTAATAATCAGACGACCTTGAGAAGTACACCTGTTTGTGCATAACGCTCAATATACAATATTTTGTAGAGTAACATATGTAACGTTTACGTCTAACAGAGAGAGAGATTTTACTGTCAGATTGAGCAAAAAATTTGCATGTGAGGCGAGCACCTAAAAACACAAATTCATGTTAGTGATAAGTTGCATCGACATAAAAGTGAAGCTAAGACATTTGGCTAAGTGAAACCGAAGTGATATTCTAAGATTTCAAGCTCTTTATCAACATACCACTTGACATTTGTACACTCATGTCTTTTGTTAATAAAAAGCAGCAGAATAACGGTTATTAATGGTTGATAAGCCCAGAAGTAGGTATGTCAATGTCTAATATTATCCCTGAACTTGCTAGTTTGAATAGACAATACGGGCTGAAAACATTTTTTCAATGGTTGTAATTATCTTCAGACAGCGTAAGTAGGACGCTCCTGCTCTCGATGGTCACTACAATAATCTCACGTTTATCATTCCCTCCCTCCTCCCAACCACTGCCACTTCCTCCCGGCTCTTTTTCCAATCACCGTATTTGGACAGTTCTGACGAAAAAATCACTCGATGTTGTCAGATCGAAAAAACACTTAACAATGTCATCAGTTAAACAGTTCGAACGCTATAGTCAGTGGCGGTAAACAAATCCACGAAATCAATAGTTCTGTAAGTCTTCGACAATTGGTGCTGGCTGCATTAGCTTTAATGAACTTAACTAGCTAAAGTGCTCAATTTTGCATACGCAGCAGATAATGAGCGGGTACGCCGTACTACACACCTCCTACAACTGCTAGCCAGCTTAAATTAATCACTTCTTGACATAGCTAGCCTATCAAATATGTCTTCGAACCTTTTCACTTCTGATTTCATATTTCACTGTTTTGGTATATTTTAGTTGCAAAAAATGTTACTAGTTAAGGCGTCGTCAAACTCCGAATACTTGTGGCATTTTTTAGTGGTGATTTCGACGTGATCTGGCACACTAATTTGTAAACTGTGAATCTGTTCCCGATTACGGAGTGAAACCTGTCCCGAAAAAGAAGTAGTACACGCCATGGATGTTGCAAGCCAGGCTTTCTTGCATGACGGAAGAGATAAAGTGAATAAGCGTGGATGGCGATCCAAAGAAAGGATGAGCTAAAAGCACCTTACATGCTTGACTGAATACATATTGCATTTTTAATATTACATTGTTATCAATTATTGTGCTGAAACAACTTTTTTCTTGTCAGTAAAAAAATTATTTATTGTCCATCTTGCTTTCAGCTGGCTTCACAATTTTTAACAGATGTAACTGTAAATTTTTTGTCCGCATTATTAACAACATTGTTATTCCGTTGGTACGTCATCGACGTTTTACACATTATGACATTTGCTTATAAATTCAAGAACATTTTTATATTTTTTTAGAAAATTGTGAATAATAGTTCAACGTCTACGTAACGTGCTTACGTTACAAAGCAATAAAGAAAACATGTATAAATCAATGATTTGTAATTTTATAAATCGTAATAAACATTTCAGACTTTTAATTATAGCAATAGACCGATTAACATTAAGTATCTTTAGCACTGTGTTCACTGGGTAATTGACTAAAAATAATGGAATATGACAGTAAAAATTGTAGGTATTTATTCTCGCCTGGCTTATCCGTGATATCTGTAGAAATTTGTTGAGAAGTATTTCGTTAAAACGAGTTTTCAAAAACTGTAATACGATTACGGTGAAAGTTTTGGGAAAAGCGCAAAAATCAGAGGAAATTTCGGGGGAATATTGGGGAATTTAAGGGTTTTATTGCCGTTTCCCCAAAACTTCCCCAAAGTTTACTATAGTGGGTATATCGTTTTTTTTCAATTTTCATTTTTACGTGTCGTATCAAAAACGTGCCGACTCGCTCCTGAAAGGCTGAGGTAGGCTAAAAACAAATTCCACCATTTGATAAACCTAGTAATCATTCAACCATCAAACAGCCCACGGACATGTCCCCTGCACATGATCCTTGAAAAGGGTAGTAGTGGTTGGTATTCAACTGGTGACTATAGGCGACTATATCAGAAACCCATTCCTGGTTGTTTACCCGTTGCCTCACATTCAAGTTTCGACAGCTACCTTATAAGTTACAACTACTGTGTTGAAATCAATTTGATTAAAACATATAAGCGTAATCCCATGGCTTCAGCCGACATTCCTAAAGCCGCGATCATCACACCTCTCAGACTCTACGAATTCTCGTGTATGCCTTTCTGTTTAGAAAATACTGCACAAACTTTCCAGAGATTCATCCGTTTATTTGTAGATGACTACTTGATCACATGTCCAGACAGAGAATCTCACTCTCCAGCATCTGGACCTTGTTCTCGAACGACTGAAAAACATGGCATTACCGTAGACACTCAGAAATGCCAGATTGGAATCAACTCCCTCGATTTTCTCGGACATACTGTTTATGTTCAAGGCATCCGACCTCTGAAAAGCAAAGTAGCGGCCATCATGAATTACCCAGAACCATAGCAGTTTTGGAAGGGAACTCCTAGCTATGTATTGTGTTGTGCGGCGCCTTTTGCACTCTGCTGAAGGTTGACAATCCACTCTATCTACTGGACATAAAAGTCTTACTGCCTCTTTAAGTACATCTTCAGAAAAGTATGTAGGATTGTAGTCTACTATGACATTAGTACTGCGCTAATAATAGACATAATCCTAAAATTCTACATTATTCATGATGTAACTGCTTGATCTATAAGATCTTGGGTGAATACTACATCATTATCTACCTTGACTCATTTGTATTGTAATAATCATCAATATATGATGAACACATTTAGGCTGGAGATAGAACAATATATTAAAAGACTGTTACATGAGTAGGATAACACCTGCAAAGCTGAACCACGCTATTCGACCAACTCGAACTAATTCAGTTCATTCTTCCTGCCTTCTAGATCTTCGGGTTCTTCCCCGCGTTAAATGTTGAATAACTATTTCCCCAATTGTCCAGTGTTCAGCTTTGAGAATTGTGTGGTTAAGACCCAATACCACTACAAATTCTCCCCTCGAGAGTCTCCGCTCCTGGACTACATTTGCAGTTCGCCTTAGATACATAACACATTTCTGAAGCAAACAATGTAGATGCAAACGCCTTGTCTTGTGTAACTTCTCCGAACAGTTTCCAGTGACTTGACCTTATTAAACTTCAAAAAGAAGACATTGATCTTCAGTACGAGTTACCTTCAACATCCCCTAACCTGTGCATTAAACAGGTGGGAATAGGTAAGGAAACCTCACTACGTAATACATCTACAGGTACAGATCATCCGGTCGTGCCTAAACATTATTGACGCAACATCTTCACCACGTTGCACAAGCTTTCTCATTCAGGTGTTCGCGCAACAATCAAGTTCACAGCAGAACGATTTTGCTGACCTGGTATGAATAAAGACGTGAGAGAGTGGGCACGCTCCTGTGCAAGTTGCTAGAAATCTAAGGTGGTCAGACACAACAAATGTCACTTATGACCATTCAAAGCTCCCTATGCTCGTTTCGACCATGTTTAACTTGACTTGGAAAAACTCTTGCCAAATTCAAGTGGATATTCTTATCTCTTGACTTATACAGACTGTTTAATACGATGGTCAGAAACAGTTACGTTTCTTTAGGTATCCCTCGTTCTATTGGTAGAAGAAACCACTTAAATATCACTACAGACCGTGGACGCCTGTTTAAATCTGGGCTTTTCCGTTGTCTGACTACACTATTAGAAATCACTCGCTTCCGAACGACCACCTACCAACCACAGGCAAACGGTTTGGTGGAACGCTTTCACAGACAGCCTAAGGTTTCACTCTCTGCTGCAAAAGTTTCACAGTGGACTAACTCTCTTCCATTCGCGCTGCTCGGTATTTGCGATTCAATGAGAGCTGACGTTGGATACACTGCAGCTCAAATGGTTTTGGAACGACACTCCGACTTCCGGGACAGTTCGTAGATCCTTCATCTTCAGTAAGTATGGATCTGAACACCTGCACGAGCATGCTCACAAACGCAATGTGCTCATTTAAACCTGTTTCCACTCGACCTCAATCACTTGATATTTTCGTCCAACCTGACCTACGATATAGTAGCATTCGATCGGCGCTAGTAAGTGCTTGACACACATGATATTGGTCACCACCCAGTGATCAATCAATTGTGATTACATCTCAATCCTACAGGAAGTTGATCGCGGCCCGGATAGCTCAGTGGTAACGTTTCTGACTGTGAAGCTGAGTGACACGGGATCGAATCCGTCAGGGAGCACCAGTCCCCTTCCAAGATTACAGGTACACCTTGCTGACGAGCGCCAAGTAGCACGAAATTCGGGTTCAGGGTTTCCTGTAGACTACCTCCAAGCATCATCTATTATAGTAGCCACATTTTTGTATGTTGCGACTCAATTCGACGACCTCTCGAAACGATATACCAAGGATCCTTCAAAGTACTTCGCCGTGAACTTAAGAACGACATCATCAATAAAAACGGAACGATTTAGAAGGAAAGCGTATTCATGTCGGTTTTCCTCCGGTAAAATCGAAAGACGCGAGTCTCACAAGTGCGATGCTTCACCATAAAATCGAAAGCATGACAATATTCGGTAGTATTTGACAACGCACCGTGGAAGAAGGGCATGGTTTCTTGAACATTTGAATGAATACTGTACGAATGACACTACACTACACATTGTTTCGTCTCAATTATTTTTTGGTATCGAAAAGAAACAAAAATAAACTTCATTTGATATGCTCATATTTATACTTAACCTGTACTCAAAAAGCAGAAACAGGTTTTTTGTTGCCAACATGCTCATATGTGTATGTCTTTTCATCACGAAAAGCAATAATTCATTCTACGAATATTGTTTCTACGCTGTTGAATGTTTACGAAATGCATGTACATACGTTTACTTACCCTTTTCACCTTTTTTGTGTCCTTACGCACCTACGGTTGGCAGTCAGCATGCACGTACATATCCTTTTTTATTTTCCCAGGACAGCTGGAGAAGATAAAAAACTGACGAAAATTAAAATGAGTCGAAATCTTCATTGTATTTGTTTTTTCATTACTATATTGCACCACATTACCCCTTACAGTAAGGAAAGACGACCAGATGCTGCTGAATGTATCAAGCTATCAGAAGGGTTTTTGTCGACGACAAGCCCCTCCCGATGGGGGAGGAGTGATCTGTAACGGTAAATAAATCCTTACAAACATCACTTTATCGCATACGATGGAGTGTCCTAGTGGGGTTCCCCGGGGCTCAGTACTAGGACCTATTCTCTTCTTGATTTATGCGAGTGACCTTCCACAACAGGTGTCGTCAGATTTATTACGTTTTGCTGATGACGTGAGACTTTGGAGAGAGATATATAGTACCAAGAGAATATACATGTAATTCAGGAGGTTCTGACTTGACTTCAAATTTGGGCAGATGACAACGGACTTACCTTTAACACTTCAAAGTGTTAAGTAGTTCATCTGAAACATGTTGCAGGCTACAACCGCAACCAAGCAAAATCTTCTTTAGAAGTATCCCGAGTTGAAAAAGATTTAGGAGTGCTGGTGCTCTACGACTTAAAGTCTTACACTAACTGTGACAAAAATTCCTTTGGAGCAAACCTTGGGCAAGTAACATTGAGACGCATTATGGGCCAGTTTGACGGAAGAACTTTCCACGTTATCTTCAACAGTTTTATTCGTCTCCACTTAGAATACGGAAACGTAGTACTTCCTTCCTCATTCCAAAAGGGTATGGACACTTAAGCTTAATCCCAATACAAACCTAAGAGGTAGCACCCAGAAACTAGGGACACACAGCAGAACGGACTGTAGACACAACTTCTACTCCTTAAGAGTTGTCAAATACTGGAATTCGCTGCCAGCTGAGCTAGTCCAAGCGACTTCCAATTCTTGAGGACTAATATTAACATCTTATTATGATTTACCAATTTCTTTTTTCCTCTATTATCGTTAATATACCTGGGTTCCTGCCTGGAGGTGTTGTTGATCCACTTCTACTGGACACGGAAGCCCGTAAAGCGAAAGCTTCTCCTATTCCGTGCACAACCATTTGGGCAATTTGAATCAGTCGTTAAGGACGCGCGCAATTTTCAACTAACATCTGTGTAACGGTATTGGAAATCATTACATGTGACTTTACTAACTTGTTAGCAGCCGTTAATCGAAGGATTGTGGTTCTTAAGTCTTGTATACTTTTAGGTGGCATGCATAAGAGGTGCTGGCGCAGTGCACCAGGCGAAAGCCCTTCTACAAAACGTGAGCGTACAAGTTCTCGGACCGAGAATTCTAGGTTGGGAAAAGCTTGGATGGCTGCTTGCTGTAGGTAATGAAGGTAGTCAATTGGTTCTCCACTCGTCGTTTGGCGTCGAGACAAAAACGGGATAGTTGTCAGCTGACTATCCACCGCCAGAGAAGAACATTCGTCTAAAATTCTCGAATTCTGGGAAGGTGAATTGGATACAGCAAAACAGTTAGCTGTGGCTCTTGTTGTATTTAGATGATGAGAAGGCGAAAGGAGCCACGGAGCACCACAACTTCAGTCTATTCGACGGCGATGGCCATTCAAGAGTCGGGGGTCGCGCGCCAGTTTGATCCTGCAAAAACACTTTCTGCGGTCAATTATCTTCCCTCGATACAACCACCGCGAGTCCATCAACAGAATCGAAAAACCGAATGTTTTTACTGCCATCATTTCGGTCGAAAAACCCGGAAATGTGGGCATAATCGTGTACAGAACAGAGGTAAGACGTGTCGTTATCATACATCTTGCTACGTTAAACATGTTTGTCCAGCACCGGGCACTGAGGACAGTGCATCATGGAGAGAGGGGGTAGTGTAACGGTATCAAAAATCATTACATATGACTTTACTAATGCGAGTTTGTTTTCCTTATTGCAGAGCAACAGAAAGTGAACGTACTAGAAGAAGAAGCCTTGCGCAGGCTAAACCTACATGATAATGAGTAAAACCGTTTTGTAATAGACTTCGCTTTTTGTACTTGAACCGCGTAATTCAGTTTTTAAATATATCTCTGTTGTGTCCGTACGCCGTGTTCTTACTCGGGTGATATCTGCCGGTCCTGACTGTTGTGTTGTGTTTCAGATCGCTCCTGCTTGCAAGGAAACACTAATAGTACGTGCTATAGCTGTTGAGGCTTGTGTTACTGCTGATTGTTGTCTATTGTTTTACATGATAAATGTGAGTGTATTACATACATTCACAGTGTTCTACAAAACAAAACAAGTTTCTCTGTATTACAAACACATTGTGGTCTCTTATAGTTCAGACTGCTGTCATTTGTATTTTACTGGTTATAACAGGTATATGGGGATAATTTAAAACGATTAGTAGAAGAATTAAAAAGAAACAGTGTTAAACGACATAGGTATCATTCCTGTTGGCTATTTTTTGCATATGTAAGAAAACGTATAGATATTTCGGTTATTGGGGGTATAATGAGTTACATACTCAATCAGATGCCAGGTATTAAACCTGAGTGGTTTGGAGCAATTGTTTGGTGGTAAAAATAACTTGTTTTCAATGCTACTCTAACAAGCAAACAACTAATCTCACGAGGCTAGTTAAGTGTCTAATTTTCCATGTCTGTTGTCTTTTTTCTTTGATTCATGTCGTAAACTCTGTATAAATTGAAAAAATTTCTATCCGATTAGACTACAGACAGTATTTATTTGACGCTAGATTTGAGATGAAATATAAAAAGAGGAAATTGAAACTATTATCTTGGGAAGAAAAGCTTGACGGGTAGACTTTATATATTTTTATATATGGCCATGTTAATTTTGTACATTTTTAGACAAATCCAGTTTGTGAATGTCGACAATACAGATGAAAATTATCTCTCTGCTGATGACCCAACCGATGTGATCATTATGAAAACAGTCACCCCGCTTTCATCGAAGGGTGTTGGTGGTCTACGCAGGTTATGTATGTCGAAATATTTCGAGGCTGAGTAAGCATAGCTTTCAATACTTACTCCCTATGAAGTTCAATTATAAATATTTTTTATTACTTGTGTCAATTAGTGGTCGTTAATGTTCGAGATTTGTGGACCTACTTATTCGGTATGTGACGTAGTTTCGTTAGACGAGTATACCGAAAAATTCACAGCTTTAAGCGATTTAACTGAACATCTTATGATGTTTATTCTCGATAAAATACAGAGTTATCGTACGCAACCGTATTACTATTTAGTTTGATACAGGGTAAATGGATTGGGTCCACTTCTTGTTTTAGGTACTCTAACAGACATTGTCAGAAACAAGTTTTTCATCGGTCTACTTAAAGTTGCTTTCAGTTTTCCGAACAACGGAGTTATTTCATATGGTGCATAGAATAGTGTTTTTATTGGTCCAGCACAAGTTTTAAATTTGTTAGGTATGTTACTCTGAACGATTCACTTTGATGGAAAGTGTCATCGGTAAATAGACAGTTTCATTGAAATCTAATTATCAAACTAAAACAGAACCTAGTCACTGTTTTTGTCGTTATCAGTGGTTTGTTGGTTAAAATGTTTAAGTATATTTTAAAATATCTTATGTATAAATTCGACAGTCCCTAAAAGTGGAGGACGGTCAGGCAGAATTAACCAACGAAGTTTTCTTGGTGTTCAGTCAGTCAGTCAGCTACAACGTAGGACCAGGCACATATGTACATCGGTTCAAGTTGTCATACTTCATTAGCACAACAAGCTGAACACCGAATTCATAGTGGTTAATTCAGTGGTGGTAAGGTATAAAAGAATGATTGCATATAAGAACATAGTACAGGAAGAAAGATTTAGTACATAGAAAGAAGGATATGAAGCGATTTTATTCTCTTAGTCTAAGGGAAGACAGAGAGTGTATACACCGACGCCATTGTGATCGATTCTGAGCCATGTCACACAGAGTTTCCAACTACTGGTTACGAAAGTCACGTCGTCTAGCTTAGTTACCGTATCGTATTTGTTGATCGGTCATAACCAAAGTAATAGGCAGATTGGCACTGATAGATTTGTATCATGTATTATATAAACCTGCAAAGTACGCTTTTTTAACTGGTTTAAGTTTTATTTAATTATGTTGCATACTATTAAACTTGACTTTGGGTATAAATGTCTAAATGACAATCAATTTGTTTCAGATCTGTGATAGATTTAGACCGATTGTGTGTTTCTGGCGAAGATCTGCTATATCACAGTAGTATACCTCAACACCGTGAAGCCGTCAAGTAAATATTCTGTCTTCTGGTTTTAGATTGGTGTATGAACACTTTCCCAACATGATACAGTAACTTTGTAATTGATCTGTTTATATTATTTTATGGATTTAATATTTCCTAAATCAGGATACTTCATTTCTACAAGAGACATTCTTCAACTATTGTGCAATAACTCATTGTTCTCTCTACTGAATAGAAAGGTACTTGATAGACAGACTTTTATTTCTAAATTGAAATGTATATGTTTTCATTTGATGCGGCATTTCCAAAGATGAATTTTGTAATTTGAGATTAGAATTAGTCGGTGACTCAAATTAGTCGTGTGGCTTTGCCTTAGGTTGGGGTAACAAGACTTTAATTTTGTAATCAAAGTGTATTAGGATTCGATTTATATTGACAAAGTTAGCAGTGATATTGGAAAATCACAGTTGACTCCAATTTGGCACTAAAGATATTGTCTAGAACGACAATGTTCTCAAAGAACACTGTTCTTCCATAATATTAAGTGGTTGAGATGGTAAATACTATCTTCTTAGTGTACTAGACGAGTGGCTTATAACGATACTGACATAAATAAAACCGTTGTAATTAGTCAAAATAACCATTTCCATCTCAATGTAAGTGGGCAACATTAAATTGTAGTGTGGGTATCAATGTGTAATAATTGATGGTTGTTTAAATATTGTCAATCAGCTGAAAAACCTGTGATAGAACAACATATAAGCGAACATACTGTTCTCAATCACGTCGTCATTAGGCTCCACTCTAATATAAATGAACATTTATATGAAAATATGAGGTCAATAAAGGCAATTTATGAATTAATGACCGCAAATAAATCGATCGCATAACTACACAATGGGTAAAAGGTATGATGTGATAGGAAGACCGCAAGTGTACTAGTGTGGTGTCTAGTACTGTCACACCCACATTAGTTATTCTAGCTTTCGGACAGATCAGTTAATTTATTCTTCTTAAGTCACGCTTTGACTTTGTCAGTTATACGCCTATAACCTTAGCTGCTTTTACATTAGCATGTTTGTGTATCGCTTACCCCATTCATCACATGTTTTCGTCCTATTTTATTGCTATAAATAGTGGATCACGTTTTACCAAATGGAGTTGATACGTTTGCGTTCTCAGCTACACTTCGTTTCCCTGTTTCTCATTCTTAATGTCTGTCTGAGTAAACGAGTGCCTGAAATAAATTCATCCCACTTAATCCATACTTGGCTCTTTGTTACCTCCGTCGCTCAAGCAGGGTTAGCCTAAACGTAATATACAGGGTTGAATGAAAGATTTATATTCATGGCTTAGTAATACGCTCATCCGGATTGGAATAAAATCTCGAACCACTAGAATGGTGAGCCACAATACTAGTTGTGATAAGAATGATAAAATAAAGACCCTAGTCAGTAGTTCAGCATATAAAGTAGGTCAAACCTGTATAAACAAACAATCACGAAACATCGTTGAAATCACGTAATAGGAAGTGTGTAAATAACTAGATAGTGAAGAGTGTATACGAAAAGAGGTAAAAACGACACAGATAGGTGATGTGAAAAATTAGTAAAATCGTTTATTAAGTCATAAACAGCCGAGGAAGGTACAGGGGTCTCACAAATTTCTCCTGAATACGTAGACTAGGGTTATGTGTTCTGATCCCTATAGCCACTGCTATATATGGGAGACAGGATCGGATCCCTTTGGAAAATGTCGAAAGTTTACGATATATCAGTTTTATTCACTATGTAACCGCTGTCACCCGAGCTGATTTGTAAAGACCATTAAGAAATATATCTAAGATCATGTGAGGAATTGCTGAAAACCAATTAAAACCGCACATTGGTGAGATTCGTTAGTATTGTAGAGTCCGGAATTCGGTAATAAATATGGTATCGTTCAACCATTAGGTCGTAATCCAGTATTCCACATTTTCTAACTTTAATCGGTCTGCAGTATAATGTAATCGTCTTCAAATATCATTACGGAGTAATTACATAGAACATTGATTTCGCATGTTGGAGATCCTAGCAATAATTTTGATTTAGTGATCTCGAGGCTATTCACTAATGAGCACCCAATTGTTTACTGATATGGTAATTAATTTCCGATGAAATTAAATCACTATCCCATTGAGTTTGGTCAATTTATCATTTGCTTAACGAGCTTCCTTACGTATATATACCTTTTACAGTCATATTAATCTTAATATTTGTCGAATTTAACCAAAAGTTCTACAAAACTTAAACCCACAACTTTTAACGAAAAAGGAATGTTTACCGGAGTGTATATATTTTCGATAGCTCAAAGTGGTCTGATCTGTTAATTTATATTTTTAAGATAGAATATTTCATCGATTAACATGTATTTCCTTTAGAGATATGTCAGAGATCAAAATATATGAATAAACTAGGGTTGCTTTGCGTTCAAATAACAAAATGACTTTTCACTTGAATTTTCTACGCTTATCAGAGAGTTTGAGGATGCACTGCTCTTTCCTCTTCATTTTGAGGTTATACTGTGGCCAACAACTTTACAAAGTTATAAGGACTGGGTAAATATGAGTTTTGCTTCCTTGATGATGGACTAGAAGGTATGGTGACTGTATATTCAATGATTTTTGTAACAGCGAAATAAAGACCATATTTTCTTTATTTGTAACACTTCATATGTAACCACATTGATACTCAGTATCTATTACTTCTCTGTATTAATGGTAAAAAACGGAAATAATTGTTTGGTTGTACTAACACACAGACCATTCATGCCACTGGTGTACAGAAAGATGGGTTTTAACTGTCTCCACTCATTATCTCATCCAGGGGTCTGCACTACTGTGAAACTCATCATGGAAAGATTTTCTTGGCTAAAAATGAACTCAAGTATGTTGATTGTTATCGGAATACAAACAACTGTTCTGTCAGTGACTCAGATAATACAGCTGATAATTCTGTGTGTGCAATGTCTAGTTTTAGTGACTGTGATACGACCAATGCTTAAAACGGTGACAAAAATTATATAACTGATTATTTACCAGAGATAAGTATATATGAACATCGGAAAAACACTGAAAGCATTGTTGGGAGTAATGTAACGTCTTGTGCTATGTTAAACTCACATTGTTTATTCTAGCTTCCGGACAAGTCAATCTATCTATTCTTAAACCCCATTTTGACCTTTTCACTTACTGGCTTATTTCTTCTGAGTGTTTTTAGATGAGTGTGTGTACATCTTATCCTACTCATCACATGTCTGTAGCTTATTTTTATCAGGTTATAAACATTCACTAAAGCTTGATTGAATCGAGTTGTCTCGCTTGTCTTCTTTAATATACTTCGCTCTTCCCTCTTTGTTTCGTCTCCCTGATTGCCTGTTCAAATCACTGAGTGTACAAAATATATGTATTCAAAACTTCATTCTCGTATTTGGTTTATTTAATTCCGTTATTCACTAACGCGGACTAAGTCGATAACTTTATATAAGGATAGATGACATGTGTGTTTCAATAACAATCATTCGTACGATTCAACAGGAGTCAGATACCGGGCAATTAAGGCATGTTTAGTGACAATTGATTCCCCAAAAATTACGGAGAAACCACAAAAAGTATAGACTGATGTTTAGGACACATTACACGTACAGTAGATATAAGAAATAACTTGAATTATGACGGCTAATCAGTCTCTTATGTAAGCCTAACAGCCCTCTTGGTTCAGCTCTCAGGATATACATCAGACTACTATTAGATGCTAAGGTCAACAGCAATTAGATATTAATTTTGCCAGCAACGGTTAATATATTACAAGTGCCGACTAAACTACTGAATTTACTCTTTCTCATAACACTTCCTACCTTACCCAATCCCTCAAGTATTCACGGAACTACTAATTATAACATATATAACCTGCATCTTGATGATACCTTTCAGTCTTTTATTCGTTCTCTCAATGCCCGTTTTTTACTCAATAAAATTAGTCATGCTATGACCCTTTTACTCCCTGTAAATCCAGACAATTTCCTTATTACGGGAATGTGGTGTGAATCAACTATGTCTGATCACTCCTTAAATGTAGACAACTGTTTTTATTTCTATACGACAGACTCCATACAATGTGAGGCGGTACAACTATTATTGTCCATTTGAACACTCAAGCATGTAAATTTTAGAATGAATATCTTGATACTATAAGTGACTCCACAAAATTATCTACTGATGGGATGTATATACAAACCACTCCATGCGGGTACCAACTATAATAAACTGTTGACAAATATATTTTTCGTTGTTTCGCGTCAGTCACACGTGAGTTTAATCTACTAAGCATTACATGGAATTCAGCTTTGGTACTAGGATGATATAAAAATTTAGTTGAAAGGACATAACTGTGCGAATGGATCCTACAGGTCTGAAAGCCCATTAGAAGGAATAATATACTTGACCTAATGTTTACAACCAACATCGACCTGACCACAGTGCACGCCAGTCATGAACTGTTCATTTGTGATTGTAAAGTCGTAGTGGGAATATGTCAGTCTCCAAACACTGTACTAACAAACTATGGTGCAGTAACACAGTACGAGAGTTGGTAGACTGATCAACAAGCATATGAGGGCACTGGAATTCTTATTCGGTGCTTACCATGGTAATAATACTTCTCCGCAGATAGCATTGACACTGCGCTCTTCTCAAGTAAAGTGCTCTATATGAATCTGTAATGGCACTGAGCCCTAATACGAGACAACGTGGGAAATAGACATTCAATGTTTAACACGGGGAAAAACCCGGCGATGAAGAGGGCGGGAAGAATAAGTTGAATTAATTGGAGTTGATCGAATGGTATGGCTTGGTCTTGCAGGCGTGGTACTTGTTGAATGTTATCTTATATCTTTTATTCATATTAAATATATTGTTCTTTCTCTGGCCTAAGCTTGTTCTACATTATGTATTGGTGATTGTTACTATGCGATGAGTTGGTGTAGACGATGGCATGACTTCTACGTAAGATCTTATAGATTAGGCAGTTATATCATGACATGTCTGCAATTTTAGGATTAGGTCTATTATTAGCGCAATACTAATAACACAGTAGACTGTAGGGCCAGCGAAATTTCACTAAGACCTAGCCGAATCATCCCGGGGGTTGGGTCATTGAATGTCGAGCAGATCATCGATCCTCGTCAAGGTCAGGGACAACCAACGCGCATCAGTTAGTCGTATGCCATGGACTGGCCCATGTGGCAGTGTTCTTACTTTCGCTTGTATCTACTTTGACTAATATATTTCTGTAATAACGTCCTCTGTGTTGTACGGTCTTCAAAGCATCTATGGTACTTTGATACGTCAATGAGGTAGTCCACGTAAGGTGCTGATCACGAGGTGTGACTTCGACGTTAGCTAGTTTGTCACACCATTCACGTCTAACTCGAGTAGGCCTCCAATCATTTCGACATGGATCATCTACGTTGGTGATCTACAAGACCATAATTCCACAACTCTCCAGTAGACAAGGTACCCTCAGGATAAAAAACTAACATACTATATAGGACACCTTCAGTCTGAAGTAAAATGATTAAAAAGTAAACACAAAATACGTTTGAGTATTTTCGTGGGTATATTAAGTGCATCATGAAAGTCACTTTTGGTAGAGATGAAAGTGGCACATTCTAGTGATTATTTCAAAAGGCGGTTCGACATTTGCTTTAATTCCATTGATATTCAATAAGACTGCCCTTGAGACTACTCCTCTACTATCTCTTCTACGATCAACTGCTTTTTGAGATCGTTTGGTAAGCTTTTGTGGATGTATTTGAAAATCCCTTCATGTATATACTTTTGTAATCTAATTTGTTACTTTGCTTATATATATGAGGTTACCTTACGTACTTCCTCCGGCTGTGCATTATGCTGATCTCCTGATCCCACATGAAACAATTGCCTTTACGTCTTATTGTAGTTTTCATTATTCTTACGTTTCTACTGAATACTATGATTTTGTTGTACTACACCCATACAGTTTTACTTGACGCTTTGGTTGTGACGGATTCCGTAATAATTTGTTCCTCTTTTGATTGTGTTGCTTGAACTGCACAGAATTATGCATTGTTGCTTATGAATTGAAGCAGGCTTACACAACTGAAAACGATGAGCATTGTAACAGGCAATTCTTGATATCTTTGTAATTATGGGCTATCAAGAACAGAAGAAAATCGTTGAAGGAGCAGAGCCCACCGATTAAGATAACGTTGTGTAGTCAAACTTCCTGTTCATTCGTGTTAGACACATTCGGACAAACAGGACGAGAACGCAGATGGATTAAGTGTTAATAAACGAACATTGTGGATTTACCAAACAAAATGGATGAATCATGTCGACTAAGTAATGATAAAGATACCCATCTAGTAGAGATATCTGACACATGGGGATCTCAAACTACAGATCAGGAACTGGTAACAGAGGGCATGTTTTTGTTTCGCAACGATAGGGAACCTGGAGCTGAAGGCGAGGAATCCGTATACTATGATCCTGCTTGTAAACACATTAAGTGAACATTTGAGTGTTTATGAATCTTGATGAATTCATATGGTGCACAATGTGATTGAATTACGCCTTAAGATGTCTAATGGGAGTCATCTGCAGAAAACACCAGTCTTCACTTGGACTGCGTCTATCAGCTGTCTTCCGCGCGTAACCGAATTCGAGGAAGGTCACAATCAACGGAAGAATATATGTATTTTGATACAGTTAAACAAACAGGTACAACAAAACAATCCCCGGTACAATTGGTTATAATAGTAATTGTTTCCATTACACCAATCGCGTTCTCTTGATAAAAGTAGGTTGTTTTTACGCGATGGAGATACTGACCACATACCCAACCCTCCTCGTTTACTCGGCATGAGGACAGTCATTGAAAAGCTGCTAGAGAGGTTACAAGGAGCTGTAACGGCAAATAAATCCATGGGACAAACAGTTCTTCATGTCCTTCACGTTAATTCTGAAGTCCTTCGCGTTACTCGACACACCCTAACTGATGACGCTTGGTCACTCGTCCGTGACAGATCACGAGTGGTTATACCGTGATACTCGACTCTTGGAAGTACTAATCAGCTTAAAACAAACGTTTTTCGACATATAGACAACTTCTCAAATGTAACTTTGAACTCCTTCACTTCTGACTTCTCAGTTGACTGGGCTGGTATTCTTTATTATAAAGGTGTTACGTGTGATAGAGTTGTCAAACTATGAATATTTGTGGTATCTTTAATACTTAGGTTCCTACCTGGAACCACCAGTGATTTCAAAGCTCGTTAAGTGATAGCTTTTTCATCTCCTCCTACAACCATTTGAACCATTTAAACAAGGTCTGAGAGACCAGTAGCTCTATCTAAATAGATGTTTTGACCTTGATCAGTCAGCTCTTGATTTGACTCTCTGCCTTGCAATGGGTTAAAACTATCTGCTTCATTCAGCTTCATTCTCAAGATTATCTTAATCTGAAGCTTTTGTTATTTGCCACTTGCTATTTATTGCTTTCTGTAGTAAATATAAGTCCATTTTTTACGCTTGCTTGCTCACCGATTCACTTTTTCTGTTGTGCTACTCATATGTAGTCATATTCACAGTACTCTGCATGCTCCTCTGGTACACAGAGTACCTTGTACTTTGTGCTACTGGGAAGTCGAAATACAACTTTCCTTGCTTCTAAAATTTTTTAAACTCTCGAAGTGATTTTGGGTATACGAATTTGTATGTAACCCATACGAAAATACCCAAGCTGCCAACTTTGGGGAAATTCTTGGGAAATCCCCAAAGTGAAATAGCCTTCCCCAAAGTTTGGGGAAGTTCTGGGAAATTTTGGGGTTTTCGTCTCATTACCCCAAAATTTACTATAGCGGCTTTCCCAAAATTTCCCCAAAATGGACCAAATTTTCCCCAAAGTTGGTAGCTTGGGTATAGGTATCTTTATTTCATCTTTCTGTAGGTCATGTAAATCCATGTCAGCTGAATATACGAAGTGTCTCTAGAATAACTTTACATCAACACTGCTAGACCTTCATGTTCTTCTTTAGCGTATTATTTTATGTGTAGGTGTTTCAAACTATCCGGTAGTAGCGGCTTATGAGGCACTGTTATTATTATAAAGAACTTTGGATTAAAAACTAGCCTTCTCAAGTTAGGAATTGTTAGCTAACTCGGTAACCCAGGTAGTTATCTTACGTTGTCAACTAAGAATCTATGGAGTCATGTTTCCAGATGAGTAGCGAGCAAAACACGCTCCTGGTTCACAATGGATATCTTTTTTTGATCCTCAGTTTTTACTCGGTTCATATCGTTTGGCTCAACAGTTATCGATTGGTCAGTTTCTGAGTCATTAATGAGATCAAAATGTTTCTTAAAATATTTTGCCTTGACTTAATCCCAATTTCTTCGAAGCACTTCGGTAAGATGCATCGAGTTATATTTTATATGAAGTTAGAAGTTGCAATTTAAACTATTTACTGGAAACAATGTCACAAAATCTAGCGAAAATGATTCGCAGGTGTAGTTTATTTAACCAGAATATCTATCCCACCTTATTTTGTAAGAAATTCGTATTTGAATGTAACGCCTACGAATGCGATTTATTAATGGTACTATTGTTATTATTGAAAACTATTTGCTGTAATATGCTATATTTTACAATATTCTGTGGATAGTTTTAGTGATCTATGTGGTCCATGCTGAAAGTCTAACGTTTATTTTTGTACTTTTTCTAAAAACAACCTGTATTCTTATGTTCCAGGACTATCATTTTGGTGGTCTCATGAACTAACTATCCAAATCACTTAGCATTGATCCTATGACACCCATCAACTGATGACAAACCAAGTTGTTTTGAAGTATGAAAAGCTAGAGAAAATTGGAGAAGGTGTGTACATGTTGTTTTAATGATGTTTGTATTACCTTCTAGGTACATATGGTAAAGTCTATAAAGCGAGGAACCGAGAGACACATGAAATTGTTGCACTTAAACGTGTTCGACTAGAAAATGACGATGAAGGTATTCCTAGTTCAGCTTTTCGAGAAATATGTCTCTTAAAAGAACTTAAACATAAAAACATTGTCAGGTGTTTTATTTAGTTTATCAAGTAATGAAATTTTTAGACTTTTTGACGTCCTGTTAAGCGAGTCAAGGCTAACAATTGTATTTGAATATTGTGATCAGGATTTGAAGAAATACTTCGACAGTTGTAATGGTGATATAGATCAGAATACTGTAAAGGTATCAAATAAATTGATGTACATTTTAGATTTTGATTGTTTAAACATTGGTCGGAATTTTGTTATTAGCTAACATAGGATTCAGCTCTGAGTAAAGACAGATCGTCTTCATTATACATGACCGCCATATATATTGTGCAGGTTTTGGTGATGTCACTAACAAAACATACTTAGACAGTAGTCCATTATTTTATCTCTTAATTTCTGAAGACGGCATAGCAAAGTAATAGAGAAGTAAAATAATGGAAAATCTAATAGGATACGCAACTGAAAAGGAGATTAAAATTTCCGTTTCATAAAGACAATTTTTTCAATTGTAACGGGTAGTCAGTCAGTCAGTCAGTAACAACGTAGAACTTCGTACGTACGTACATCAGTTCGAGTTGCCACACCACATTAGCACAGAGATGCAGTGGTCGATTCAAATCCCGTAGTGGTAGAGGTAGCAAGAGTATAAGCAGTAATCGGGAAGATTAGGGTTTGGAGATGTTATTTAAAGAGTATAATCCAGTGAAAGAAATTTGGAAAGAGGGAAAAAGGGACATGAAGAATTCAGAAGATTAGAGTTTTGGAGAACACAGAGAGTGGATGCACCTGCGCCATTGCGAACGATTTTGAGCCATGTCATTCAGGGTCTCTAACCATCGGTTGCTGTCATCTCGCGGTCCCCAACCAGGTAGTCTACACCTACCAACATGACTCAGTTCACTTGTCAGTGACTTCATGGACTTGTGCCATGTTTTGGTTTGGCCGCCCCTAGCTTTCTTCCAACCTACTCCTATACCACTGAACATAGCACGTCGAGGCAGTCGGTCGTTGGGCATACGTAACACGTGTCCCAGCCATCTCAACTGATGAAGTTTCACTACGTCATCAATTGATTTGCCATCCTTACCTAGTACCCGTTTCCTAACAACTGTGTTACTTACTCGATGGTCCCATGATATATGAGCAATGTTTCGAAGACACCTATGATCGAATACTAGTAACCTACGGATATCCTCTACTCTTATCGGCCATGTTTCACTGCCATAAAGTAGGACGGAACGAACTGCTGCGCAGTAAACACGTCCTTTGGTTGATAGACGGATATCTCGCCTACTCCATAAATGACGCAAGTTGGCAAAAGCTAGTCGAGCCTTCTGTATCCGTGCTGAGATTTCGTCACACACCAAACCACAAGGGCTGATGAGACTTCCAAGATAAGTGAAGCGGTCGACACACTCAACTACTTCACTCCCTATCACTAGTTCAGGTGTCGATGTAACCCAATCCTGAAGCAACATTTTGCATTTCGAGGGAGAGAATCGCATCCCGAACATGCTTGCATTGTTGCTTAGAGTGGTCAGAAGACTCTGCATTTTGTCAGCGTCTTCACCAAATAAAACTATGTCATCTGCATATTCTAAGTCAACAAGTGAACCTCCTGGTAGAAGTTCAACCCCTGTAAATTTAGATGAGGAGAGTGTTATCTCTAAAAGTATGTCAATGACAAAGTTGAACAAGAATGGGGAGAGTGGACAGCCCTGACGAACACCACTTGAGGTGATCAATTCTGATGACAGTTCGCCATAAGCTCTCACTCGACCAGTTGTGTTCGAGTAGAGAGCCTTTATAAGGTTAATGTACTTCTTTCGTACTCCTTTCAGTGACAAACACTGCCATAGAACCTCACGATCAACGGAGTCGAGTGCCGCCTTAAGGTCGAGAAATACTACCATTGTGGGGCGTCTGAATGTGTGTCTCTGTTCTAGAACCTGACGTAGTGTGAATATCTGATCTATACAACCACGTCCAGGTCGAAAACCAGCCTGGTTTTCTCTAGTCTGCTCTTCACGAGCTTTAGTTAGGCGTCGAAGTATTATTGAAGCTAATATTTTAGACACTATATTAGTCAAACTGATTCCTCTGTGATTGTCACAGGAGGACTTTTGTCCTTTCTTAAAAACTGGCACAATCAGTGATTGAGACCAGTCAGATGGGATTACGTCCAGTTCCCAAATTCTACCTAAGACCTCAGTTAATCTTGCTGCTAATACTGGACCACCATCCTTAAAAATCTCAGGAGTAAACCTGTCAGGGCCTGCTGCTCTCCCTCGTTTCAGATTTCCTATGGCTTTTTCAACTTCGTAAAGGGACGGAGGACTTACATTAACTTGCCATTCAGGTTGACTGGAGATCGTGGGAAACCGAAGTGTGGCTGAAGGCCAGTTGAACTGATCCCTAAAGTGTTCTGCCCATCGATCCAATCTCCTGGATTGAGAATGAATAATATGTCCATCTTTCTCTGAGATTGTTTCGCTAACGGTCGGGTTCCTAATTCCGGTTTCCTTAACGAGTCTAAACAATTGTCTGCTATTATCTATTGCCGCTGCCTTTTCCATCTCTCTTGCTTTCGCTACCCACCACTGTTCGCGATCATTGCGTAGTAATTACTTTCTGACTTGCTTTTTGAATAAAGCGATAGAGAAACCTTTTAAATTATGGTCATATTCTTATGAAGAGTTATTGAGTTTACTTTTCGTCTCATTGTCTAGATAATGGATAAAGCAGTAAATTTCATACGGTCTTTTGTCTTACTCCACACTTAAGATCCTAATCCTAGGTTTATTTCCTCGCTAAGCATTCCACTAAGTTATGCGGCGATAATTCTTCATGTGCTTTGTGATTTTCTCACTTGGGTCCCAAATTGATTTCCTTCATTCTATAAAATTCCGGACACAGATGGTTGATCAGTCTCAGAAACTCGTCATATGTATCATATATCAATTTCAAATTCACGAGAAGTCATGATTTATATTGTTTTGTCAATCGTCTGTCGGCGATTGTACTATGTTTTAAAGAATAGTGGATCTTCCTGTTGTAATTTTTCTTATTAGGACCCAGCTATTTCTATCACTTATTATTCTTGGACAGCAATTCACTCGACAAGTCCCCAAACCAGAACACGGTTGAACAGGAACGAAATTATATTCCAAATAACAAGGGTAGATGGAAGTAAGAAGCACAATACGAAAAGCTTTAGTATATTTATAGTTTTTACATGAGAATATTCTAGAATCTTCTCTAAGCATGCACCAACACAATCCTGCACGGAACGTGCTTTAATCCAATTTATTCCCCGCTAACACTATTAATGTATAGAGATGATATATTGTCAGTCCTTACATAAATGTACCTCAGGTTATTACATATGATTATACATTTAGTTGCTGAGTTGTAATTCATTAATATTTAAGCTGATTATTTACCGACTATTGTCAAGAAATCATAATTTTTAATTAGGGGCTAAACTTAATGCTAGTGTTTGGTCATATAGACTAAAAGACCATGAATTTGTTGTTGTGAATACAGACTCGTTGAATACCCTCAGTGTATGGGTACTGTGATAGGAATATTCTGGCTTTTATTTCTTAGATACCTTACCAGACCTTCTGCAAATGCATCAGTAAGGTATTAATGAATTACTAATGAATATATATATATATTTTGTTATATCCCAATGAGTAGAAAAATTGTATTTCTGACGTTTCGTAGCTTAATGTAAGCTACTTCTTTAGAGTAAATAAAACTTATTTGAAGCTATCAAGTCTAACCTTGGTATTATTACATACAAACTCATTGATGGGTTATGTCTTAACTGCTTCACAACTAGAACTCAGAGTAGTTTGTCGGAATAAATGGTCAAGCATTTAGATGTTTTAACCTATCCAACTGGTAATAATAAACCGCGGATTAAATCCGTGTCGAAAATAAATCTTTTATATTCGATTTTAAGAAAATGATCGAAAAAGTATCTTAGAATCTTTGTTTCACATTTTTTAGCTTTTCATGTTCCAACTTCTACGTGGTCTTCAGTTTTGTCACAGTCACAACGTTTTACACCGAGACTTGAAGCCACAAAATCTACTGATCAATGATAATGGAGAGTTAAAGTTGGCTGATTTCGGTCTGGCTCGCGCATACGGAATACCCGTGCGACAATACTCAGCAGAAGTCAGTTTTCTTGTCTACTTTAAAAAATATTTTTCAGTAGTTCTAACAAAGGACAAATTAAATTCACATTATTACCGTGTTTTATTTATAATTTGACATTTTGGATACTATTTCTTTGATACATACTTCACGTCATGACTTTCCATGGTTTCTAGTATTGGGGTATGCAGTCATCCCTGTTTCCCTTTTACAATAAAATATAGACATTTTCTGTATGATAGCGGATTCATTTAAGTATTCTATACATTCGCATTACGTCATATAGCTAGTTAGACTCTTGATTCACAGTTCATCCGAACAATAAACTATGTTTCATAAGTTATGTGTTTGTCTTTAGGCTTGAATACCAAAACTTAGTGCAAAAGAAGTCCAGCTGTAATCATGTTACAATTATATAGGTCAATACAAAAATAAGCTTTATTTATCTAAGATATTGCGTATCCTAGTTCTACTTTCCATGAGATGTTTCATTGTAAGAGTATCCTGCCAAATGACAACGTATTGCTTAATACGTCAAGATAAATGGTAAAAGATAGTTAAATTTCTCCAAATAACTTTTTCCTCTCCAAAATTCTTACGATAGCATAGACAATTGAAGAAGCAGTGCTTTTATACCGTCAGCTCACTTAACTACTATGTTCTCTCCTCCGGTTACTTCTGTTTAAGGACTTATTATCTTTAGACAGTTGGCAACCATATTCAGATCAAGATTGGGTTATTAAGTAACTCATTTTCTTTACCTTGTCCTTAAAATACATTTATTTTATACAGTATTTCCTTTGAGATACTAGTAGTACTCCTAAGACAGGAGTATCCAAATACTGACAACTCGTGATTTTCTTTGAGTAACATGACGAAACCAAGCATATCTACATTGTATACTTCACCCTCATTTAGTATTTTTCGTTTTTGAATTACATGGACAGTGTCACTTATGTGGTCATCTAGGTGGACACAATCATCCACTTCAGTAAAGCAAATGTCATATTCAATCAATCCATCACACTGTCAAGGTAAATGTGTATGGAAACAGCTACTGATCACTTTACACCTCAAAGACTCGAAATAACTGCTAGCATCTCTTGTTTTTCACTTCATATTTTTTATAGACTGTATCTGTACGGTTAGTTGATCTAGAAAAAATTTATTTTTTGAATTATATCTTCACTTATACCAAGCATAGCAAAGTTGGATCTTCTGATTTCTGCGGCTAGCAGAATGACCTCTCCGATCTCTCACATTATTTGAATATTCCAGGTCCTTATTTGTATTGCTCACGTCTATCAATTATGGGGTGAGTATATTGCGCGGCAATTCGTTCTGTTCTAATTTACGGATGCGAAACATGGCCACTAAGAGTCGAAGATACCTGTAAGCTACTAGTATTTGACGACAGATGCCTTAGAACTATTGCTGGCTCAAAATCGTTTGCAATGGCGCAGGTGCATCCACTCTCTGTGTTCTCCCAAACTCTAATCTTCTGAATTCTTCATGTCCCTTTTTCCCTCTTTCCAAATTTCTTTCACTGGATTATACTCTTTAAATAACATCTCCAAACCCTAATCTTCCCGATTACTGCTTATACTCTTGCTACCTCTACCACTACGGGATTTGAATCGACAAGTGCATCTCTGTGCTAATGTGGTGTGGCAACTCGAACTGATGTACGTACGTACGAAGTTCTACGTTGTTACTGACTGACTGACTGAGTGGGGTTAGATACAGAGTATTAGGGAATGATGGTTAATCCTTTGATGAGGTTGTAAATCTTCATCGACTGAGATGGTTGGGTGACGTGTTACGTATGCGTGAACACCGATTACCACGACGTGCAATGCTAACCGGTGTTGGGGATGGTTGGAAGAAAGTTAGGGGCGGCCAAACCAAAACGTGGCATCAGTGCTTGAAGTCAGTAACTTGTGGTCTGTGCCATGTTGGTAGATGCAGACTAATTGGTTGGGGTTCGCGTGACTATCGTAACCAATGGTTGGAGACTGTTGGTGACATGGCTCAGAATCGATCACAATGGCGTAGGTGTATACACTTTTTGCCTTCTCTTAAACCGTGAGATTAAAAGTAAGATGTATATTTCTTTCCATGAACTAATTCTTTCTTCCTTCATCATATCCTTTTATGAAATTTTTCACTACCATTAAAGTAACTGCTTCTATGAATTTGGTGTTCATCTTGTTCTGTCGACCTTACACCAAACTCCCCTTTACTTGCGTTTCGGACCAGCAGTTTCTCCAGAGGAGTTCCAGTAGGAGTTGCTTTTGATTTACTGGCTAATAAATGATTAAGCCTAACATTTCGAGATTGTATTTGGTCCTCATATTTCCCTATAATTTCTTTTATATACGCTGAAACTTAATTTGCTTGTTTTAAAACCTTCTAGGACCATAGTCTTAGCTTATTTCAGTGATTTCATTGGTGTCCCATTCTTCTTTTAGCGTAAATGAGTCATGGAAGTTAGTTGCTATTTTTTCATTAAGATAACTTTCCTTTGATTTTTTATTTTTTTCCGATAATAAATTATCTAGTTAACTTTTGCGTCCATTTTCGTTAATTAACTGTTGATTTAGGAGTGTTTTATTCTCGAATACTTTGGGGTTATTTTTAGTTACGCGACCTTTTTTTACTGCTTTCTAATCATTTCATGTGCAGATATGTTATAATTATTGCACAAAGTTTATTCTTGGACTAACAGTTATCATTACTTTCTTCGAAGTTTTAATTTTAATTGTTTTATCCTATTTTTCTTCATGTCAGAAAAGTCCTGTGATACTTGAGAATAAATTCTTTTCAGTTCCACTACGTGTTTCTGTAAATAGTCCATACTTGCTACTGAACTGTTACTGAAAGATTTTAATTAATCTAGATTTCAACGAGTTGAAAAGGACAAGGTTTCAGGTCGTTTATGTTTCTAAAACTACACAGGTTTTTGTCAACTCACAGTTTCTCGAAATAACTTTGTGGATATAACTTTTAGTTAAGTAAGTAAATTCATTATCTTTCTAAACTGTTGGTCAGTTCCTCGATTTGGCAAACAAATAATATTTTCCTGTCTCAGTTCTTCGGTGATCAATCATAATTTCTAGAGTTTGAATAAGAGTTGTGCAGTTTTGAAACGTGAACCCATAATCTAAATAAACCATTATTTGGCCTTAATAACACAATGATTATTTATCTATTATCATTTTTCCACGGTTTCACCATTTGACTCAAATGTGTTTCATGTTGAAATTCAAATATTCAAAATAAATACATTGCAACTTTCAATATCAAGAGGTTTCTTTTTTTCTAAAAGTTGAATTTTAAACAAATTCCGGGGTTTTCTCTCTTAGGTTGTCACACTCTGGTATCGACCACCAGATGTTCTTCTTGGAGCTAAATTATACACAACCTCAATTGATATGTGGTCAGCTGGTTGTATTTTCGCTGAAATGTCCAATGCTGGAAGACCACTTTTTCCTGGTTATGATGTTGATGATCAATTGCAGAGAATTTTTAAGTAAGAACAGAGAAATGAAATTATGTTTTTGTTCAATATGTAGTAACTTTCATTCATTTCTAAATTTTTTCAAGTGTGGAATCCATTCAGAATTTTCACCTAATTTTTGGAATTAGGTATTATTAAAACAATTGTCCAAAAACTCAATATATTTTTGTGCTTATTATCAAAATGAAGGTTTGGTCTTGTTGTTTTCATAATTAAAGCATGCTACCTGTGGGACCAAAATCAGTTCATTTGCAGCCAGAAACTGTAAAGAGTTTTAAGTGAGTTGGATTGATTCATTCTCAACAATCAGATGGTAGAGAAGATTTGTAGCTCAGATGGATGTTAATTAAACTTGATCTAATAATTAATAATGTGATTCAATTAGAAATTCTTTGATATTAAATATTAATGATATCAATATTAAAATCAAAAACTTCATCAATTTTCTCATTATGATCCATAGAAGTATATGTTCAGCTAAAATTTAAGTCTTCATACCACTTATCTTGAACTGTTCAACAACAGTTATAACAGTAAATAATATTTAGTCATTTAATCAACTAGTCCCGTAGTTATAGTAATCAACTGATTAGCAAACTTTTTTGATTATTATCAAGCGAAGTTAGACAAAAATCTTCTTCAATAGTTGAAATCATGAGTCGATTGAAGCTAGAACACCATGGAAAACCTGGAATCACTGGACGGCCGTTTTGTCCTATTGTTGTACTCCTCAGTAGTGCGCATCCACGATGCCGCCTCGCGAGATTCGAACTCAGGACCAACTAATCCATGAAATTGAGCGACACATCCACTATTGTCTACAGTGAGTTACTATCTGACCTTCCAGTGCTTCCAGGTTTTTCATGGTGGTCTAGCTTCAATTGACTCATGATTTCAACCACTGAAATTACTAAAATCTCCACAAAACCCCTTCTAGTAAAAATGTTTTTAATGATAAAGCTGAGTGTAAACTACTTGCTTTAATTAAACAGTTGTCATATTTATAAATTACATCTTCATTATTGTAATGATTTGGTTAGTCGTATGTAAACGATTCTTCCAAATTATTTCCACTCTATTATTGGTTTTTATCAAAGATTCAATGAAAAATTTCGTTAGTTTTATTTATTTCTAATGAAAATATTGTTTTATTCCCTCCCCTACCAATGTTTCATAAGATCTTACATGTGAGTATGTAGTTTACTCCCGACCGTTGTTGCTAACATGACGTGGTGGTCGGGCTTGCCAGTCGTGATGAAGCAATCGAGCTATACTGGCTGGAACAACCGTTCCTCAAGGTCCTACTATGTCAGACAGGTCGATTGGAGAGCGGTAAGACTAAAAGCAACAAACCAAAGGTCCGAAGGCGAAGTCGTACTGCTGACTGTACAGAGGTGTGACAGCAATAAGGTGTTTCCTTCAGACAACCAGCATGACAGCGATGCTGCCTTCCCACAAGGAGGGGTGGGGTTAGAAAAGGTCGACCCTGAAAATGAGCACCTCGTCTTGTCCCACGGATATCCGTTTCCGGCGGTAAGGTCTCAACAAGTACGGAGCCAACACAAAAATTACTCATTAAAAGGTCGTGTGTGACTGACCTCAAGTAGTTGTCCCTTGGGCACTGCGGTCACGCTCTCAGATCACTAAGACCACCTTGAATCCGATTTCCTTTTCAGGTACCTCCAGAAGAACCCTTCAACGGTGTAGGCAACCGGGAAGTGATAACCACCCTCATACCTCTAGCAGTACTCAAGACCACTGTATTCATAATCAACCTCCCTCTTCACTTTCTATTATTCCTCCTACATCGACTTTCACCTCTAAACTTCCTCTTTCGGCTTCCCCCTCAAGTGTCACCATAGCCAACGATTCTAGTGCATGAAACACTGTCCCAGGTCTACTGAAACCTCGCTCCAAACTACACATTGGAGTCTTCAACGTACGCACCGTATGTCAAATCGGTCAGCAGGCTTCCTTGGCTAGAACCCTAGAATCTCGTACCATTGATGTATGCTGTGTCTCCGAAACACGCATACAGGATCCTAGTGTGGTCGGTCACCTGACCTCACCTCGGCAAAACGGAGAGCCGACGAGATACACCCTCCGTGTATCTGGCGACCCGATGGCTAGTTCTCGTGGACTGGCAGGTGTAGGCATAGCACTAAGCATGAGGGCGGAACAAGCACTGTTAAAGTGGATCCCCGTTAACAGTCTCCCATGTTCTGTTCGGTTAAACGGTTCCGTAAGAACTCGGATGGATATGGACACACGTCGTTGCTTTTTGTCGTTTCTGCCTACGCTCCCACCGACTGCAGCTCAGATGAAGTGAAAGATCAATTTTGCAGAAAGCTATCTGAACTTCTTCAGAAAGCTAAACGTCCAGACATAGTACTCGTAGCAGGTGACTTTAGTGTTCAAGTAGGTAGCTGAAACCAAACAGAAAGACATTTAGGTGGGTATTTTAGTATTCCGACAGAGCGAACAGATGATGGTGATCGTCTGCTGCAACTGTGCTCAGACAATCGTTTATTTTTAGCAAACACAAATTCTAAGCATAAATAGAGACATCGTCTAACATGGTGACCCTCTACACCAAACCGATTCAAATAGATCATACTGCCATCAGAGGGTCGATAGAAGATTGCCGCTCATTCTGGAGTACCTGCTTGGACTCCGACCAAGCCCCAATACGGGCACGCATCTGCTTGCGCCTAACTGGACGCAAAAAAGCCACAGTAAAAGACCTATTAGAACTGAATTGAGTGGCGAGAAAACCAAAAGTAGGTTCGAGGAAAAACTGAGGTCACAATGAGGTAGTTCTGAAAACGAGGTTGACCCAGATGTTGCTTGGAAAGCTATACAAACAGCTGTGGAAACAGCAGTGACATCTCTCAGTGATTTAAACCACAGGGTTACAAAGAACCAATGGATTTCCTCAAGGTCTATTGCATTGATGGATTCTCGTAAACTCATCCCATCAGGCTCTGAACACGATGAAGAGCGTAAAGAAATCAGATCTAGGTTAAGCAAAAGTCTGAGGAACGACCGTGAGCAGTGGTGGGCAACGAAAGCAAAAGAGATGGAAAAGGCAGTGGCTATAGGTAACACAAGACAGCTCTGCAGACTAATAAAAGAAACTGGAATTAATAAGTCAAGTGTGAGTCAGACTATTTCGCAAAAAGGCGACACTCATCTGCTCGCAGTCCAGACGTTTAGAACGATGGGCGGAACATTTCAGAGAACAGTTCAGCTGGCCTTCAGCTACTCTACAACTACCCTCCATTCCCAGACAGTGTGAATGGAACATTGAAGTAGGTCTCCCAAATCTAGCAGAAGTTCAAAAGGTTATAGCTAATCTGAAACGAGGAAGGGCAGCTGGTCCAGATGGATTGGCTCCAGAGGTCTATAAGGATGGTGGTCCAATTTCAGTGATTGATTAGGTTGACTAATATTTTAGCTAAGATCTGGGAGTTGGACGTAATTCCATCTGACTGGCCACAATCACTGATCGTCCGAATATATAGGAGAGGGTCAAAATCATTCTGTGACAACCATAGAGGGATTAGTTTAACTAATATATAGTATCTAAAATACTAGCCTCGATAGTTATCGGACGTCTAACTAAGACTCGCGAACTGCAAACACGAGAGAATCAAGCTGGCTTCAAAGCTGGTCGTGGTTGCATCGACCACACATTCACCATTCGTCAGGTTCTAGAACACAAGCATACATATTGGCGTCCGACAATGGTGGTCTTTCTTGACTTGAAAGCAGCATTTGACTCGGTAGAGTGCGAGATTCTGTGGCAGTGTCTGTCATTGAAAGGTGTACCTCAGAAGTGCATAAACCTTGTGAAAACTCTTTACTCGAACACTGATAGTGGAGTGAGAGCTTATGGCGAACTGTCATCTACTTTTGCAACCTCAAGTGGTGTCCGTCAAGGCTGTCCACTTTCTCCATTTTTGTTTAATTTCATCATAGACCTACTGATGGAAATAACATTCTCGTCGATTGAATTCTCTGGTATTGATCTCCTTCCAGGAGATCCACTTATCGACTTGGAATACGCAGATGACATAGTCCTGTTTGGTGAAGACGCTGACAAAATGCAGAGTCTTCTGGTAGCACTAAGCAGAAAATGCCAGAATGTTTGGAATGCGCTTCTCTCCCTCTAAATGCAAGTTGTTGCTTTAGGACTGGTCTGCGTCAACACCTGAACTAAGTATAGGGAGTGAAGTAGTCGAACACGTTGAAAAATTCACTTATATTGGAAGTCTGATCAGCCCTAATGGATTGGTGTCTGACGAAATCTCAGCACGGATTCGAAAAGCTCGTTTGGCTTTTGCCAACTTACGTCAACCACGGAGTAGGCGAGATATCCGTCTATCAATAAAAGGACGAGTATACTGCGCGGCAGTTCGTTCTGTTTTAATTTACGGCTACGAAACATGGCCACTAAGAGTCGAAGATACCTGTAAGCTACTAGTATTTGACGACAGATGCCTTAGAACTATTGCTGGCATCTGCTGGGATCACGGGTAAGTAATAGTGAGGTTAGACACAGAGTATCAGGGAATGATGGTAAATCAGTTGATGAGGTTGTGAATCTTCATCGACTGAGATGGTTGGGCAGCGTGTTACGTATGCGTGAACACTGATTATCACGATGTGCAATGCCAACCGGTGTTGGAGATGGTTGGAAGAAAGTTAGGGGCGGCCAAACCAAAACGTGGCATCAGTGCTTGAAGTCAGTAACTTGTGGTCTGTGCCATGTTGGTAGATGCAGACTAATTGGTTGGGGTTCGCGTGACTATCGTAACCAATGGTTGGAGACTGTTGGTGATATGGCTCAGAATCGATCACAATCGTGTAAGTGTAAACACTCTCTGTCTTCCTTTAAACTAGGAGGATAAAATCGCTTCATATCTTTCTTTCTATGTACTAAATCTTTCTTCCTGTACTATGTTCTCATATGCAATCTTTCTTTTATATTTTACCATCATAGAATTAACTACTTCTATGGATCCGGTGTTCATCTTGTTGTGCTAATGAGGTATGGCAACTTGGACCGATGCATATATGTGCCTGGTCCTATGTTGTAGCTGACTGATAGACTGATGTAGTTTACTGCTTACTCTTAACATTTCTTATTGGTCTATTTACATTTCATGGTTTTATTTTGATTAATTTTATTCAACCAGATTATTAGGAACTCCCACTGAATCAACCTGGCCATCTGTTGTTGAATTACCCGACTATGAAGTAAGTATTAATACATGACTTTTCTAAAAAATAATTGTTTTTCTCTATCAAAACATATAATCATTCAACTACAACCTAAAATATTCATCGGAATTATTAGATTGGAACATATTTACTATGAGACGTTAAAGATGATGTACGCGTCAATGTTTTGATGCATTAATGAGTGGATTACGCCAACACCAATATAAACACACAGATTATGTATTTTGACTAGAACTTTGACTATGTCCTGATATTGTTCTGTTTCTTGTACAACGAGACTGCAAAACTTAGATTTAGTACAAGTTTCTCGTATAAACAAATCAAACGTTAGGTATTTGACATATATTTTTCACCAACTGATCACTTTATGTTTTGAAACATGACGGATATATATATATATATATATATATATATATATATATATATATATATATATATATATATATATATATATTTGAAAAAGAATAAATCATATGCGCATACATAATAGTTCCAAAGTATATGATTTGATTGTTTAGTGTTTCATCCTGATAAATCGTTATTCCTTACAATGTTTACAATAATTCTGATAATGATTTCTCATTCATTTGAAGTTTCTATTTTAATCTTTAAGATTAACAGAAACCACGGCATTTAGGTTAAAGTGTAACTATTGTATTCAGAAAAAAACCAATGCATAATCTTCAATTGTCTTGGCAACAGAAACAAGCACTGTGTAATAATTTCTATTTTAACTGTGATTACAGTTCATTGAATTTAATTTTCATATTTTCCTAAGACAAGGATTTGTCTTAAAGAGTAACAAAATTCTCTGCATTATTACAGAATTATCAGTCTAATTATTTGCATAAAGTCCCTTCAAAACTTAAAAATATATAATTGCAATTTTGCCTTTTAAGTAATTTATTGATCTTTAACGTAAATTGAAGATTTTCATTTAATTATTTCAAAACAGAATAGAAGTATAACGAATAAATATTTCTTTTCAGTTAGATTTCAATATTCATTCACTTCATTTGTTTTGTTCTTGAGTAAAATATTCTTATTTTTGATTTCTATGTTTAATTTCAAACTAATTAAACTAATTAGTTTGTTTGAAATTGAGTTAAAATCAACAAAATACTATGATGATTATCAGAATGGGGTTTGTAGAGATTGTAGTAATTTAATAGTTGAATTCATGAGTCGATTTAAGCTAGACCACCATTATAAACCTTGAAACTCTAGACAGCTGTTTCGTCCTAGTATGGGACTCCTCTCAGCAGTGCGTACCCACGGTTCCGCACGCAAGATTCGAACCCAAGACCAACGGTGTTAATGTCTAACGTCAACCAATCCACGATGCCGACTTAGTGGTCTAGAGGTTAAGCTTTCTCTCACGAGACCGAAGGCCCTGGGTTCGAGTCTCGCGTGCGGGGTCGTGGGTGCGCACTGGTGAGAGGAGTTCCATACTAGGACGAAACGGCCGTCCAGAGTTTCGAGGTTTTTAATGGTGGTCTAGCTTAAATCGACTTATGAATTCAACTGTAAAATACTATGGATTCATTGTATTTTGCTAACATCATCAATTTTACATTGTGTAAATTTGATAAGAAAAACCCTTGTACACGTCAACTTAATTGTTCTTAACTGGCTAATGCAACACGTTAAACAGTGTTTTCCTAGTTTACACCTTGAAAGCCATGTTACAATGTGATTATAAAGGCAATATGTAATGACAGGACAAAGTAACTGTAATAATTGAAGTAATTATTTATCAAAGTTGAAAACATGTTTGTCAACAGTTGCCAAACTGAATTATATCTAATAATAAAAGGTATTTTTAAAGTCAGTTTATTAATGTTTACGTACGAAAAGATAATAAAATATTAAAGTTGTGTAAGTTCACAAAAATGAAAGAAATTTAGAAAATCTGAAAAATTAAGCTTACTTGCTCTTGTATGACCTATGTCATTTGGACAAGACTAAGAGTAGGGTTGTATAAACTTCATTCTTGTCGAGAATACTACGTATATATTCAGTTAATCTTCCGTTTTTTTTATCGTAGCGAGTCGCTTTAGCACGAGTCAGGATATTTATTAAACTCTACTTATATTTGCTTGGTACAGAACTATAGAGATGAGTATATTTGTCTAATTGCACGATCTCTATGTATATTTCTTTTTAATGTTACGTCTAATTGTCTTGTTACTCAAATCTCTAGAAATGCTATGCTATTATTCTATGCTTCTTCAGAAGTAAATGCTATTGAAAATGTTAGGCAAATTGTCATTATTAGTGTTTTTTTTTCACAGTATAAATGTATCTTTTATGTAAAGACAGTGGAATTTTTGTTGAATTATTGTCTATAAGAGGTCCATTTTTCATTTTTCCAAGAGGAAATTTTGTCAGGAGACGGGATCCAGCGATGATCTAATGGCTACACCTTCTACTTGTTTATAGAGTTCATTGTTAAATCGAAAGTTGGCATCCGTCGTACACACAAGAATGAACTCTTATTATACAAACATGAACCAAGGTTTATATGTTTCTGTCTACTAGTTTACCGTAAATAAAACTCAGTTTTTAGTGTAAAAAATTAGGAAATTGAAGCGATACATTTAATACTCGGAAAAAGTTGTTTTTAATCACCAGTTCTTTTTAAATATTATCAATAAATTTACGGGGGGTTTCCAAATTGCTGTTAAAGGCTTCTTTAAACGGTTTGAGAATTTGTGTGGAATTATTCGTATCTAAACCAGGTCGAAAGGATGTTTATTTTTATTTATTTATTTGAACACATAAATATTGGTACAAGGGGGCACCAAATATATATGGGCCACACGAAACAATGAGAATGGGAAGAGAAAAAAGGAAGGTAAGGAGCGTAAAAGAAAAAAAAGAAGAGGAACAATGACGACCAGATTAGTGTAAGGAAGTGTAATAATAATAATGGGGGAAACGGAAAGGTACAACCAGAAGAAATCTTTCAGTTAAGGAAGATACAACCACTTTTTATGAAGAAAGTTAAAGAAGGTTACAGCAGGATGGCCACTGGCTTCTATTCTGAGCCATATCTGATAACATCTCTAACCACTGTGTAGCACCATCTTTCGGACCCCAGCCAGGGAGTCGTGAAGGACCAACAGAAGCCATCCCTTTGTAGAATTCTTTCATACTCCGACACCATGTCATACACTAACCACCTCTCCGCTTCTTCCAACCATTCCCAGAGTCGGCAAATAATGCACGACGTGGAATTCTCTGGGACGACATTCGTAGAACATGTCCAAGCTACCGAAGTCGGTGTTTCAAGATGGTGACGCCAATTGGATTATCGTCTCTGTGCCCGAACACACGATGCCGAACCTCTGCATTCCTAACATGGTGTTGCCACTGGATGTCAGCAATCCTTCGGAGACAACGATGATCGAACACAGAGAGTCGTCTAATGTATGTCTTTTAGACAAGCCAAGTATCCTCAGCGTTATCGTTCATTTAGATCTCAACATTTATTCGTCCTATCTATTTTTTATTTTGTACAAAATGTCTGAATGAGAACTTTCATTATACTAAATTCCATCTTATTGTGTTCACATGACATGTTAAATACTCGTTCGATACCTTGGAAGTATGACATCTAACTCTTCAAATCTCAACATGTATTTGTAACGGTTAACTTATTTTCTTTTATCTTACATTTTGGTAGTAAAAAATCTCATACAAAAAAATGCGTATTTAACATGAATATGTAAGAATTTTTACATATGTTGATAACCAATTTTATATTGATTAAGCTTTTCACAATTTCGTGTATAATAATAATAATAATAATAATAATAATAATTATTATTATTATTATTATTATTATTATTATTACCTAATGTTGTCTAAGAAAATGGAGTTGGTAGAAATGGTTTAACATCCGGAATAATTTTCAAAAAATATTTATGACAATATTCAATAGATAATATATATCTTTAATTATTTTGGAGAGTTATTATTATTTATTCAAGTGAAAAGGTGAACCTGATCATTTCGAACATAGTTCAAATATCTACAACTATACGATAGTCATATATCAGTAATTCATTGTTGAGTAATGTTACTAGGTATCATTTAATTTATTTATTAAATTATCTTTATTGATCTATTAGCCATTTACTGTGATGTATCCTCGTACAATGAATTGGCATCAAGTTGTTCCGAAAATGTCATTTCGTGGTCGTGATTTATTACAAGTAGGTGAAAAAGTGTTTTATTCTGTATTGTTTTATACGTGTAACTTTTTGAATAGATTATTTTGTTCTCTATATTATATTTAGTAAATTTTTAAATTATAGCTAGATTCAGGACATGATACACGTTTCTTCAGGTAAATGTAACTGTATCTAGGTGTTGAAGTTCACAGTGAGACTCAATTCCGGTACACCTGACTCTTCAATTTCTAATATGTTATTCAGTAAGCTGTTGGCTCCACATAGCCACTAGCTTATTCAACTAGCATAAAGTTATTCGTAATGTTTGTTACTTTCTCAGAATTGATATTCAAAAGTTCCGACTTAGACGAAACACACTTCCTGAATTCCACTGTTAGCGACAACTCAATAGTAAACAAACCTGTGTAACTGCAAGTAATCTCTAGGCATCATTTCTAGTTTACCATATACCAACAGAAAATGATCAATTACAGTCGTCAATAACAAAATACCAAAACTTATAAATTAGTACTAATGGATCTACCATTTCTTTATTTTGTATATAGTTTTATGGATTTTTATCATTTAATGTTATAAATTCTAACCAATAAGCATATGATCCTTAAAGATCGGGGGGTAATACGTAGGTAATTTTCATTGATAAATGTTATTAGTTGATGATACATTGAAAAACGGGGAGAAGTGAACAAATGTCGCATCATAATCTTGAACTCATCAGCAGTCCACGATCCTTCATGAAATCGAACCGAGAACCCCCAGTTCTCATAGAGAGCCTGCTGCCAATTCGGCCATTGAGTCATTTTTGAGCTGTCCATATTCCAGTTCGAAATATCATCATACCCTGTATTCGATCTTGTTGGTGGTTTACTATTTGGCCAGATAATAACTAAATAATTTTATGTATCTATAAACATTTATCAGGAAGCTACTTATAATCTGGATGCTTCAGTTGCTTACATGTAACTGAATACCTTTCTAGTGGTTTCAAATCCATATCCCATAGGTTCGTTACCGCCACTTTGATGTTTCAGCGACTACTAACACCAGTCAGTTCTTAATATGATTCAATGAATTAATACAGTGATAACGAGCGTGTTATACTGAATAGCATGAGCTGAAAACATCATTGTCTCTCACTGTTATAACTTTTGCCCAGTTAATTATATCACGTGAATAATTCTACTAATTAGAACACCGACTGATATGACTAGACCAGTGACTCATAAACCTGTATGAGCAGCCTAAAGTCAATCTCTGAGTTCTGATTGGACCTTCCGCCTGGCCGTGTCTGTTTGAGTCCAGAACACAGCTTCTGATGTATGAGTCATATCTTTCAGACATACTTGGTTTATATACAAACAAACCTGACCGTATCATACCATAAAATGGAAAATAATAACCACACAAGATCAAGCCAAAAAGTGACTGTGATTATGAGAAGTTTTAACTAATAAATTGGGAATAACTTAAGATTAGTAAATCATAGAATAGTAGACAATAGGTCAAATGGAAGCTTAATATATATATATATATATATATATATATATATATATATATATATAACACCCACCCTCATACCTTGCATCATACTAAGCCGCAGAAACCTTTTAGTACAACATTCAGATGTTAATTGTAAAGAGTAATTATTTAATCAAAAAACAAACATGAGAATTATAATAGAAAAAAAAGGTTGAATGATGTGTAAGCTGATTGGTTCAATGACAGAATATGAATAACTTGTCCGTTAAGATTACTGAAACTGTGTAGGTGTATGAAATTAATGAGGACTTTTATTTCATCGACCAGAAACATAAATATTGATATTTTATTGAATTATTTTTCATCCGGAAACTAATTGCATTCCAGTATTTAATCGATAATGAAGGTCTGAGTATAACATTTCTTAAAATCAAGTAACAAATATATGTATACTTAATTTTGAAAATCTTTGTTTAAATCAAATTCGGTCACTACATTTTTGTAGGGAAGATATGTGTATATATTGAAAATAAACTATTCTGTGCGAACCTGCAACATTTGATGAATTATTAGTGACTGTGCTTCAGTATCAACAATTATGATTGAATTTAAAACTATGCACTAGTGATTTTGACCTAGATAACTATATAGATCTTTAATTGGTACAAAGACTTAAATGTTGATGCATTTGAAATTCATGTGGAGTTAAACTATATCGTATTGAAGTCATAAACTTAATTGAAAAAAAACACAACACCACAACTACTTCTTGGTTAGTTTCCAATATTTCTATAACTTATGTCAGTTATTAGTGAATATCACTTTTTTTGTTCACGTAGCAAATTATGAATTGTATTTAAAAATTCTTATTTCATATTTCATATTTATTCTTTTTTTCTTCGTTTGTTTACAAATTAGCAACTTGTTATTTGTAATCCATCTGACCGTATATCAGCTGATCAAGCATTAAAACATTCATATTTTGAGAGTATTCTGTGATATTAATTTTAATTGAACAAAACAAACATGGATCAATAAGTTTTGCTTTTTTTCGAAAAAAAATCAATTCAATTTGAAAATGAGAGGGAAAAAATTAGTATTTATATGTTTTCGTAGGAGAAACCAAACAAAAGTTTGTCGATTGAACATTTACATGGGGAAAGTAATGATGTTATTCTAGAATTTTCCTCCGAAAAAAGTACAGTATTCTCTACATTGATTACTGATTTTTTTTGGTTAGCAAACTTTTTCTTAGATTTAATCAAACAAGTTATTTGGGTTGTAATATTGTTGGTCTAGTGATAGGATTACCTTTTCGACGTAAAACTGTTGAGTTCACAGTAGCTATATATATGTAAGAAACGTATCAACTAATCAGAGCATACCTAGTCTGTCGATAATTCATTTAGCCAATGACATAAAAAAGGGAATAAATGCGACTAAGTAAAAAAGCATAGCCCTACGACAAGGATTTCACACATTCAATTGAGATAAAGAATCGGCAGGAATTATCCATAAAATGTATCCGTCTCCCAGACATTGGGAACAGAAGCGCGGTCACCAACCACAAACGCACGCAACTTTACGACTACCTCACCCCAATATCTATTTCTTGCTTACCAAACAATAACAATAACAACACCTACGACCAACTGCACCAGCGCCAAAATAAAACATTACCACAAAAACATCATCCTAAGTAACCCGGTCACTTCCACTTGCACATATCACAGTCATGGAAATATGCCGAGAGCAGGGCAGCATGTTGCAAATACTCAAGTGTCTGGATGACAGTCGCCTACACCTGAACAACAACATTGCGTGTACGTTTAAGCAAATCAACACATAAATAAATATAAAATATCCTCTTCTCAATAAGTCATCGTTTCCAGTTACAAATTACCAACTAACTATATGACTCAAACACAACTAGTCTTCAATTCATAGTATATCACATTATCATTGTTACCAATACCATTAAAGTTAACAGGCATAAAAACAAAGTCAATGATAAATCATAAAAACTACACGACTACCTCTACCATTACCTACCAGCGCTAACTTATATATCATTAATTTCACCACTCTTATTCACTCACTACGAGCCAACCAGATACATTTACCACTAACTAGCATATGGATCACACGCCTGTAATCAATTAACTTAGGCATAACAAATTTATTATCAAGTCACATTAACAAAACAAAACAGAACACTTACAGTGTAAACGATTTCCTCACTACATCTCCTGTAGTACTGATTAGTAATGCAATTGTGTCACATACCCACACATATTAGCTACATATTATTTCATTTATATATATAAATATACATTTATATAAATACAAATAAAAGTGCACATTTCACTCACACCAAACCTACCTAATCACGATGTACAGTTTATTTCATTTACAAAGAAATCTGTCCAACCACAGTTACTACTGCTGCTTCAAGTCGCATTCCGGTCATTTACTCAACTAAACTAAACTAAACTAAACAAGTTACGCAACACTGTCTCAACAAAAAACCAATACAACACATACGTGTATGCACATACAAATTTTATACACATCACCACACGCCTATTACCTCATCCTCATCAATAATATTTGTCAGTAGTACCTATATCATTATCATTGCAACTATCAGTATTATCATATTGACTACCCATTATTATTATTATCATTATTATTATTATTACTATTATTACTACTACTGTACACTGCCATTTTAAAGCTAACCGATCCACTAGCTTACCCCACCATATTTATAAAATCAAGAACATAATCATTAAAATTAGTAAAGCTTTTTTTCATCGAAAATAATAGTAATGATCAGTTGGTTTACAAAACTGCAATTACAATACCAGTAAGCAATTTACCTCAGAAAACAAAACCAAACAACTCTCAATCTCTCAGAAAACATTTTGCTCACTATTAGTCAATCAAGTAGTTACTTCAAAAGTCACTGCTATGCTTATCTGTTTTTCATGTACACAATTAATAATAAGAAACAAGGAAATAGGAAAATAGACCGTATCAATTAATTAACTAAGTCAAATAAATAGAAAAACAAACTCATTCTCGAAACATGTACAGTTAGTTAGCCAACCAATATCTGCCGATAGTTTTCATCCCAGTTTTCTTAATGTCACCATCATTAATTTCATTATTATGATCAGTATTTCATTGACTATAAACAACAATAGCGTCTTCGGTCTCAATCACTTCATCTCTTTCACTCATTGACAAAATTAATTCAGTCATAAAACAAGGTGATAAAAGTACTCTCACAATGTATCATCATACTTGGTGTTTATCCAACAGTCTAAGCATCAATTCGTTCATATTAAAGAAACAGTCAAAAACATGTAAAAAAACAAAAGAATGTAGAAAACTATGCAGTTAGTTAGTTTGTCTGTCAAGTACAACCGATTATGTGTCAACTCAAGTTATTTCTATATGTACATGTCTTATAGGTAATTAAGCAAGTAATATGTTCATAGATAGATTAATAAAAAGCGTCCATTTGCAAAAGTCATTTAACATGGATTTTACACATCATTAGGACGTCCTGTTTATCCTGGTCACAATGCATTCCGTTGAAATAACAAGACCTATCAGTCGGATAACCAAAGATACCAGTGGACAAAATCGCTATACCAGTATAACATTCATTTACCAAACTGCTTCATTCCAAAAATTATATTGTACCAGACAATTGAAATGATCATAAGTTTTCTCTCATTGAAGTCAACAGTTAGTTAACCAGATTCCCATTTATTTGTCACCTTCAAACAATAGCAATAACAAGTATTGTGTGCAAAATATTTCACCATTTCCAACAATTGTCACACTACCACACCTGCAAAACACAAACTATCTTCTGTCTTCACTACTCTTCTCTTACCGAAACAACAAAATTACATCAGATCAGTCTTCATTTGTGACTATTACAGTTTCTATTATATCGTTATTATTGCGTTGACCAACAATTGTTAAGGTGGAAAAAACGCTAGAAGTTGCACAAAAACATGCATCTTGTCAATAAAACAAACACTATAAACCAAACGTAATAGAAGACTGTTCACGTTGGATAATAGAAAGTTGAGTCATTCAACAGTTCGGCAATCCGCTTACAGTTAGTGGTGGTAAGTGCGATAGTAGAACTAACAGAAGTAGTAGCAGCAGATGACGATCACTCAACCTGCCCCATCTTATCATTTATAGGTAGATAGCGAGTAACACAGATAGACAGAGGAAGAAGTAGAAGTATAAGTATAAGTAGAAGAAGAAGAAAAAGAAGAAGAAGAAGAAGAAGAAGAAGTAAAACACACAAAATTATCAACTAGTAAGCAAAGATCACATTAGAAACCACATTAAAACACCACTACCAGTCACAAATTCTCGAGGTCGATTAGTTTTACCCAGCAGTCACAAGGCGCGTTCTTCCCTAGGATGCGACACCAAGAACGACCGATGAAAACAGCCGCCGCCGCCGCCGTCGCCGCCACCCACCTACATCTCCCACCCAGCCGGATCAACACAACACCCTCAACCACAAACCCACGACGCCCCCACCCGCCCCCCTCCTTTGACATCACCGACGAACACCACTATGTCGCAGACCTATCACCACACTTTACGACTACCTCAACCCACTGCCTCACTATTAGTCAATCAAGTAGTTACTTCAAAAGTCACTGCTATGCTTATCTGTTTTTCATGTACACAATTAGTAATAAGAAACAAGGAAATAGGAAAATAGACCGTATCAATTAATTAACTAAGTCAAATAAATAGAAAAACAAACTCATTCTCGAAACATGTACAGTTAGTTAGCCAACCAATATCTGCCGATAGTTTTCATCCCAGTTTTCTTAATGTCACCATCATTAATTTCATTATTATGATCAGTATTTCATTGACTATAAACAACAATAGCGTCTTCGGTCTCAATCACTTCATCTCTTTCACTCATTGACAAAATTAATTCAGTCATAAAACAAGGTGATAAAAGTACTCTCACAATGTATCATCATACTTGGTGTTTATCCAACAGTCTAAGCATCAATTCGTTCATATTAAAGAAACAGTCAAAAACATGTAAAAAAACAAAAGAATGTAGAAAACTATGCAGTTAGTTAGTTTGTCTGTCAAGTACAACCGATTATGTGTCAACTCAAGTTATTTCTATATGTACATGTCTTATAGGTAATTAAGCAAGTAATATGTTCATAGATAGATTAATAAAAAGCGTCCATTTGCAAAAGTCATTTAACATGGATTTTACACATCATTAGGACGTCCTGTTTATCCTGGTCACAATGCATTCCGTTGAAATAACAAGACCTATCAGTCGGATAACCAAAGATACCAGTGGACAAAATCGCTATACCAGTATAACATTCATTTACCAAACTGCTTCATTCCAAAAATTATATTGTACCAGACAATTGAAATGATCATAAGTTTTCTCTCATTGAAGTCAACAGTTAGTTAACCAGATTCCCATTTATTTGTCACCTTCAAGCAATAGCAATAACAAGTATTGTGTGCAAAATATTTCACCATTTCCAACAATTGTCACACTACCACACCTGCAAAACACAAACTATCTTCTGTCTTCACTACTCTTCTCTTACCGAAACAACAAAATTACATCAGATCAGTCTTCATTTGTGACTATTACAGTTTCTATTATATCGTTATTATTGCGTTGACCAACAATTGTTAAGGTGGAAAAAACGCTAGAAGTTGCACAAAAACATGCATCTTGTCAATAAAACAAACACTATAAACCAAACGTAATAGAAGACTGTTCACGTTGGATAATAGAAAGTTGAGTCATTCAACAGTTCGGCAATCCGCTTACAGTTAGTGGTGGTAAGTGCGATAGTAGAACTAACAGAAGTAGTAGCAGCAGATGACGATCACTCAACCTGCCCCATCTTATCATTTATAGGTAGATAGCGAGTAACACAGATAGACAGAGGAAGAAGTAGAAGTATAAGTATAAGTAGAAGAAGAAGAAAAAGAAGAAGAAGAAGAAGAAGAAGAAGAAGAAGAAGAAGAAGAAGAAGAAGAAGTAAAACACACAAAATTATCAACTAGTAAGCAAAGATCACATTAGAAACCAC